CTTACCTGTGTCCAGGGAGGAGGGAGATTCCATCCGTGGTGGTCCGGTGGCATGGGGGGCCCCCCCGGCTCCCTGTTACCGCAGGGGGGGCCCAGGCAGCACATTGCTTCTCCTCCTCTCTTCTTTCTTCTAATAACTCTCGCAAGACCCGCGGAGCGTTAGTAACCGGTCTCGCGAGAGTTATTAGAAGATAGAAGAGAGGAGGAGTAGCAGTGTGCTGCCTGGGCCCCCTCTGCGGTAACAGGGAGCCGGGGGCCCGCGGCTGCACACATAGATAGCGATATTCGCTATCTATATGTGCAGAGAAACAAAGTGGGGCCCAGGACTGCCAGAGCAGTCCGGGCCCCCCAGGGCCGCCGGGCCCGTGACAACCTCACGGTTGTCACCTTGTTGCAGCCTTGACCCAGTGTCACCTTGGGGAGACTACAGTCGGCACATGGCTGATATCTAGTGATGGCTGTGTTGGGCTCTTGGAGAGAAAGATGGAGAACTGTCTGTTGGGTTCTCACCCTACAATTGACAGGGTTTAAGAACATTATGTTATGGTTTAATAAAGCTGTGGCTGTTGCCCTTATCCACTTAAAAAGGTGTCTAACGTGTTATTGGGGGGTAGCGGTGGGTTGGATATGGGTCAGCAGTCAAGTGCCCGTTCACAGTGTGAGCACGTCTATTGATGTGCTTGAACCATTTTGTCCGAGAAACAAATTCTGGATGACAGGACAGGACCCGAAATAGAATTTGGGAGGCACAGGGTTAAATAAACAACTTATTACAACAAAGTAAGAAATATAATGCATTAAAGGGATCTCTTGAATCACTGAGTTGAGAATACCAAGTGCCAGAGCATTAAAACTGAAAGCATATCTCACTTACAAAACTTTTCCAGGCCAGCTATATTATTCTTCAATTTGAAATTCACTTTGAATTCTTACTTCAGTGAATAACCCTATGAATTTCGAATTTAAATGCAGAATAGTCAAACTGGAAGAATAACTGACTTTGAAAATGATTCCAGTTTACATATTTTGGCCTTAAAGGTGAAATTCACTCTGAATTCTCTACGTTTATTTTCTTACGTGAATACCAGTGCCTGTCACACTTGTATTTCACGCAGGGACGTTTTAGCCGCGAGGCAGACAAAGCATTTGTCTTGGGCGGCATTTTCCAGGGGCCGGCAAAAAAAGCCGCCTCCAAATGCCCAGGGCAAATGCCTTGTTAGCCTTGCGGCTAACTGACAAGCGGGCGGGCGGCGCTGGCGAGGGAGCACTTTCCCCTGAGTTCTCTGCTCAGCTCCTACGCCAGCGCCGCCCGCAGAGTGAGGCTGGAAGCCGGAATATGATGCTGAGCAGAGAGTTCAGGGGAAAGTGCTCCCTCGCCAGCGCTGCCCGCCCGCCCAGCAGCCACTGGACCAACAGGGAATGGGAGAACCCCCCCACCCCCAACATTCCCAAAGGTAAGGAGGCTGGGGGGGTAAATAAAAAAAATAAGAAGTTTGTGTTAATGTGAGTGAGTGTCTGTTAGTGTGTGTGTCTGACTGTGTGTGTGTCTGTGTGTTTCTGTTAGTGTGTGTGCCTGACTGTGTGTGTGTGTGTTTCTGACTGTGTGTGTCTGTTACTGTGTGTGTGTGTCTGACTGTGTGTGTGTGTTAGTGTGTGTGTCTGTTACTGTGTGTGTCTGACTGTGTGTCTGTTAGTGTGTGTGTGTCTGACTGTGTGTGTCTGTCAGTGTGTGTGTGTGTGTCTGTTAGCTAGTGTATGCGTATCTGTCAGTGAATGTGTGTGTGTGTGTGTGTATTTAAAAGGCGGGGCGGGGGGAAGGGTTGGGTGGGGTGGCATGCGCATTGGGAGGTGTCTGAGTTTTGTCCTGCCTGGGGTAGCACAAAACCAAGATACACCACTCATTTCACGCTGTCGACCTCCTTGACAGAGTGCAAAGCTGCGAACTGCTAAGTGGTCCTCAAAGTCCCTGAATAACACTAAAGGGCATCTTTCAGTCAGAATCTTTATTTATTTTGATAAGTGAGTTTTCACCAGAATTCTATCTGGAATCTAACTGATGTAGTGGAAGATCTCAGTGTCTGTTTATTATATCTGTGTGTGTGTTTCAGTGACTAGGCTGGGTCTGCTCCAGACATCGTGTATAGATGCATACTTTCTTCCACATTATTACTGTGTGTATGTCATTACAACGATTCCCAGATTTACATCCATAAGGGAGAGGGGAGGATTGGGCGAGGAGTCTCCCCCCCTCTCAGAGGTGCAGGGAGCTGCAGAGAGAGGCGGGATCATGGGCAAAGGGAGCAGAGAGAGTGTGTGTGTTTTTTCCCCACTGTGGGAAAGCGACCATCTCCCCCAGGGAATCCGGCTCAATGAGACTTTAATCAGCACAACAGCTGCTTCCTGCCATGATCCTATTAAACACGCAGCCTGAGCCTCGCACAATAGGATCTCTCTGTGCTCCTGTCCCAGCCCTGCTCTCCACCCTGCGGCCCACCGAGGGCCATGGCCCGGGACACTGCCCGCTGAACACACAGGGGGGCAGGTAAGTGCTGGGCACAGGGGGTGGCAGGCCAGAAATCCTGCAATCGTTAAATGTCATCTTGCTTAATTATAAGCTACAGCTTGCCAGGGAATGCAATGTGCAGAGAGGCAATATTATTATTATTTATAAAGCGCCAACAAATTCCGTAGCACTGTACAATAGGTATACCCTTTCTTGCCCCATGCCCTGTTTAATTACTCCATACCAGGGTAGGGGTAAAACAAGGGTCATGGAAAGCACTGAGTTGCCATGTGATGCCATCTTGGTACCCGTACTTCAGGCACTCAGTGTCCAGCTGCAAGGAGTGGTGGTAATGGGATGGTATAGTCATTATGCCACTGGCTGCTTGGCAAACAGTGCCCATTATATCCTGGCATAAAGGGCAACTCTCAAGGCTAGGGCTCGCAAAATGTGAAGATACAGAAAACAAGGAAGGTAGGAAACTATCAAGGCTAGTTTGCATGGGCTGTTGTAATGGAGTGCATGTAATTCTGTGAGTCCTTGGCTTAAATGAAGTTTAGATAATATATATCACGGGGCTTATTAACTAAACTTTAAATTGTGGTAACTGTTAAAATCTGAATGTTAAAATGTAGGCAGCAATAGCTGTTCTGGAGAAATTGTCCAATGCAACTCTAATCACAGCCTAAATTTTGCAATATGGATTTTTACTCATTTCGGAGAATAGCGGATAAAGCCCTAAGAGGCGTATTCACTTAACCTGGAATTGGATGCTAGTAGCTTATTTTGGAAACATTCTCCAACACTGCTATAGTCACAGTTTATGTGTTTTAGCCTCCATTTGCTATTCAGATTTTAATTTGGCACAGTGCGAAGTTTAGTAATGAAAGCAGTAAGTGTGGATAGTATAAAGGAAATCTTATGAATTCCAGTGATAGTGCCTTATCAGCAGTGGGTAATGTCAACTATGCTTCCCATGATGGTAAACATCAGCTGGAGTACAAAAGGTCAGGCATTACTACCGGTAGTAGACTGCAGACCAGACAGTGAACGGTATATTCAGTAAGGTGGGGGTCGTGGGCAATTGACAAAATGGCTAAATTAAAGAAAACAATATGTCTACTGCTTGGCTAAATTGGCACAAACAGACTTACAGCGGCAGCGTTTTTTAGGTTTATTCCCTAAACAGTGGATTGTGGTGAAATGCAATTCACTGTTTAATAAATAAAGAAAATTACGAGAAAATGCATCCCGCAATGTTCACATAGACTTTACATTTTACTCCACAATTTTTTTTCCAACTTAAAAGTGGCTCTGTCACCGTCTGGGGTCTTTGTAAAGACCCCCGATAGTCACTGCTCTGTTAGGTGGCTGCAGGGAAAGATGAGTTTTAATTACCTGAACATGTCCCTCGTGGCCACCATCGCCATCTTTATCCAATTGGTCCTCTGAAGATTCTGGATCTTTATCTGAAAGGAGCCATGTCAGTGCAGTATTCTAGAGTACAAGACTGATGTTGGTAGAGGTTCCCATGAGACCGTGGGATCCCCCATAGGCAAAGTATTTTTCCCCCTGTCGCCACTAATGATGGCTGGGGAAAATTAAATATTATTGACAATGATAGCTCCACCTTTTTTTCGAGTGTAGGTAATTGAGACAAAGCAGTTCCAGTATATGTTTTGATTCCAGTACAATTTCAATACAGTTAATGTGAGGATTTCATAAAAATTTTATGATTTCATATTTATGAAATACTAATGGGGCTGGGCGGCGTGAAAGTGCCGCTTTAACATTTTAGCCAACAAGGCCTCATAAGTCCAGTCAGTAAGAAAGATTCCCAGGCACTCAAAATTTGAAAGCCGCAGGCGGATTTATTGCAACAAAATGAACAGCAACGTTTCGACCTAACAAGGTTGCAATAAATCTGCCTGTGGCTTTCACATTTTAAATGCCTTGGAGTGTTGGGATTGCTGGTCCTGTTCCAGAGCACCTGTGGCCAGTGGGAATGAGTGCGGCTCCTGTGATCAATTTTTGTCATAAGTCCAGTCAATCACAACTGACAGCTGAGGAACCACTGTGATTGATCCTAGTTCTAGCAATTGGGTCAGGATCAAAAATTATGTCACTATTCAATTTGGGGGTTTCTATTTGTTTGAACAAGCACATCATATTAATTCAAAGGAAGAGTCCAAGTTTGGTGTTTATGTACATTAATATTTTATATTAACCACTTGATAATTGTTCACTGAGCTAACTTTACAGTTAAATGGATTTTCACGCAAACTCCATGTACATAATTTGGGTCCTTGTTTTAAAAAATTAAGATCCTGTTTCCCGTTGCCTTAGAAAGTATAGCCAGTTAAGTTTAGGATTACCTTGTCATCATAAGAACTGGAATTGTGAATTTTTGTGTTTTTTAAATTATTGTAGGCACTGATATAAATGTCTCTGATCTTCATACTTAGATACCCCTCCCATGACTAAGGAAGTGACTCAGTATGTCGAACCCTGAAGGTGCAGCCCCAGTACCCCAGCACCTGCATACCACCACCAGGACTTTAACTCTGCGGGGCATTCGTGGGCACACATCAGAAGGCCGAGGCTCAGACACAGTGGCGGACTGCAAGAAGGTTCACAGTGCCCTCAATAAAGTGACTGCCTGTTACCGGCAGCTGGTGATGTGTGTTGGGGGTACCTCAGACTGTATTCGACTTAGAGAGGAATTGGAAGAGAGCAGGAAGAAAGCTTTTGATCTAAGCACAGGTGAGTGCCTACCTTAAAAGTAGTCATCGATTTATTAAGGACGACATGGGCAAATGACCCTACAAACTATTGGTGGTGCCTCTCATGTTTTATAATGAATGCAATATATTGGAGAGGAAAGAGAAGCGAAAATAGAGCTCCACATCTATATTATTCCACTTTCAAATGCTTCAGTCCTCATGAGAACTTGGAAAAAGGGGAATTTGATTGTTTGTTTAAGCGGCTGAGGCAGGAAAGAGAGGTATCTGGAAAAGGGGCTTAAAAACATCCTGACTGAGAAGGAGATGGCGGGTTGGGGATAAAAGTGTTGTAAAAACTCTGCATTGATAAATTGAGGGGAAGGGAGGCAAAAACAAAAACCACAAACAGGTAGGGGTCTGGGAAACGTATGAGATAAGGTCTGAGGTGGAAAAATAAGGGAGGGCTAATCAATCTAGGAGTAAATTATGTGGAAGGTAAGGTAAGAGCGATAAAAGTATCGTAGTTTGTTTTTATCACAAGACATTTTGCTTAAGTGGAATTAATGTGCAGAAAAAGCAAGCAAGGTGCTTTATATGTTAAGAAACCAAATCTTTTATTAACGGAGGTAGCTTTCAGAACATTTTGTTTTTTTAATGATTTTTTTTCCCCAAGACAATCTTTATTTGGAAAGATGATCAGAACCATTCAAAGATGATGATATATATATATATATATAAAAAAAAGATACATAGCTTCAATGCTAAATGTGAATGTTTAGATGCACATCAGCTCTAGGGAGAGATTTGACGTCGCCACCACAGCCTACAGGCGTCCTGTGATTTAACGGTTTAGTTGTTTACATTCTGATAATAGATTCTTAATGGTGTAATGGTTAATAGACCTGTGCAAAAAATATTTGTCCTAATCAAAACAAATTTCATCCACACCCAAATTAATTAATTTGCCCAAGATTTATTTATGGATCGTACTATGGGGTTTCAACAGAATTTCAGGCCTAAGATTTAATGATGGTAGAAATCTTTTGCTAGCTGGTTTGAATTCTGAGTGTGTGAACCTGATTTTAGAAAACTAAAAGACTACCATATTCGGAATAAAAGTTTGTTTTTCGCTAGACACACAGACAATAATGCATTGTTAATTATATGTATGTGCCCCCAGATCTGCGGAACACATTGATGGCACTGTTGACAGAGCAGGAAGTAAGTCCAGAAGAACGGGTGGAGTTGGAGAGGACCTGGGTGCTTTTCCTTTCCACGCTGGAACTTTTCCAACAGGATCTGTGCAAAGCCCACCACCTTTGCCATCTCTTTCCTTTGCATGGACGTCGTAAGAGACTGGTCAACACTGGTGTGATTGGCAAGACTACTGAAGTTGCTTATAGGGCTCGCAACATTAAATCTCCCAGCAGCAGAGTGCGGGAGAACCCGCAGCGTTCAGAACGACCCTGTTCTCCGGATTTAGCTGAACAAATTGAACACATGGAAAGAATGCTGCATGATATGCAAATGAAAGTAAGCATCCCCATCTGGAGTGTAGAAGCGACCGAGGAGGCCTGGGCAGAGGTCAGTTCCACTTGTGATCTAGATGAGGGGTCAGATAATGAGATCCTGGCAGGTGATGACATGTCCAGCAGAGGGTGCTGTGCCCACGGGCAATCACTTCACCGACCACTGTGCATGGTCTCGTAATCATTAAACTTAAACAAGAAGCAACTGAAATGGTCAGTGGAAGGGTTACAAGGACGGTGGAAATGTGGTCTATAGTCTGCATCTTCTGTCCATGTCAAAGCAGTAATCAATGGAGGGGACCGAAGACAACAGTCCTGGATATTGAATATATGGGCTATGAACCTTTAACCACGTTTATGCCTGTTCTGCATCAGCACAGGCCTGCCTTTTCGTTCGCTCTATTTTATATGAAAGTAACATGAAAAAAAAAAAGCTGTGATAGGAAATTAATGCAGCATGTCAATGAATCTTACACTGCCATGAACAGATTGAGTGATTTTTTGTGCAGCTGCCTTATAGGAATGATGCCATTTGGGATTAAGAGGTTTTGTGTGCGGGTAAAGAACCCAGACTATTCTCATTGAAGGGACTAATACAGGGGTAAATTACAATCTATTCTTTGACAGTTATTAATATGATAACTGCTGCTGATGAGCCGTTAACGATGTAGACACAATCACACTTTTGTTGGACAAAACTTATACCATCACTGGTTCAGTGGGGGGAAAAAAGGTCTCCCAATCCCTTACGTTACATTCAAACTTAAGCAATCACAATCTATTAAAGAACAGTTATCGACACATTAATAGAACATTCAATACTTTGCGAATTCATCATCAAAGAGGACTTGATGGTTAACCATGAAAGGTGTGTGTGCATGAGCAGAAGAACAACTCCCCTGAGTTGATGAAATATAAAATCACCAAAACTATACTAATGATTTCTTCAAGGGAACCTGTAGGCACCGTGATATATTCAACTGACAGTGGTTATGGTGCCTGGAGTCTGTGGATGCAGGGTCTCTCATCACTGCAAAACAGTTTATTCACTGTTTAGCCGAGATTATCGTCCCCAGTAGACAAAATGGAGGATCTGTGCTCCACTTTAACTATACCATGCATAGCAAGCAGTGATGGGCTTAAAGAGGCAGCCGAGTGTTTTCAACCAATCACTGCTCCAACCCCAGGTATTAAATGGTATGGCGCAAGGCAGAAGCATAGCTAAACCTCCATTATATCATTTGGGTGCCGTTGATCAAACATCTCTGGTAAACGGTGAGTAAATAGTTTAGCAGTGATCGAGAACCCAGCTTCTGTGGTCTCTAGGTACTCTAACAACTTTAATCAGTTGAAGTGGTTATGGTGCGTACAATGCTCCTTTAAAGACATATACATATCAATCTTGCTGTGGAACACAACAGGTTTTAGACAAATAGAGAAAATTTATGACAAACTTACCGTAATTTTATTTTCCTGCTATTTCTCGTAGCAGGATCACATATGAGTAGCTCCTCCCGTAGCAGTCACAGGACAAGAATTAATTAGCCTGATAGGTATAAAGAGTCCGTCCTCCCCTTACACCACAGTCCAATTATAAAGCTGAAAAAAATAAAAGAATGGACGGGAACCCTGATGCTGCCATGCGAAATAGCCAGGAAAAGAAAATTATGGTAAGTTTGTCATAAATTTTCACTATTTCTGGCTTATCATGGCAGCATCACATATGGGTAATACCCAAGCTTACAGAGATGAAGGGTAGGAATAAATAAACCGAGAAAAAGACACTAAACAGACTCTCATGCTGCAAAGAAATGTAATATCAATGGGATAAAGAAACGGTAGACTGTGGTGTAACGGAGGAGGGACCCTATACCTATCAGACTAATTAATCTAATTAATTACTGTCCTGTGACTGCTAAGGGAGGAGCTACCCATATGTGATGCTGCCATGATTAGCCAGGAATGTCCCTTATTACCATCACCAATGCACTAGAAAAGGGCTCAAACAGCAAGATCGATCATTCCAAGATGGATCTTCGGGAACTTGGAGTAATCTTTTCGAGATTGTGTACTTGAACAATGACAACTAAAGTTAGGGTTTTGCGCAGATATCGATTTCTAACGGTGGCAGTTGTGACATTTTTGGAAAGTGATGTGCACTGAAAACGCAGACATGATGGCAAACGAAAGTCGGAAACGTTTATTGAATGGTTCTGTCTGCTGGATTGTAATTTACCCCACAATTTGGTGCCATAACAGACATGCATGTAGTCTTCCTCAGGGTCCATATACATCTAAACACTTACTAAATGTACCAGTTGTCCCATATAACCTCATACAGCGTGTATGTAACCAGAATTTCACCCAGTGTCTAAATGCTCTGTCTGTGCAAGGTAGCACCTGTCTTTACCTTCAAAACCAATGCTCCAAAAAGGATATTGTGTGGTATCAGTATGGTCTGTGTCTGGCTGTGTCCTGTTTGGTTTCAATGTGCTATACAAACAGGGATGTTATACATTCCTGCGAAAGCAAAACTCCAAATTGATGTCACTCAGTTTTAGCAGCCATTATCATTTACTATATCTTACAAGTAATTGCAGGAATATGCAAAAAAACAAACAAAAAAAAAAAAAATTCGAATGCACTCCATATCGTAGGGGATGGGCTTTGGTTAAAAAAAAGTTAAAGGGAAGCTATAGTGCCAGGAAAGCAAAGTTGTTTTACTGGCACTATAGTGCCCCTCCCGATGGTGCAGAAGGGGACAAAAGCTGATTCAGGCTTTGCCATTTTCAGTCGGCAGTGGAAACCTAATGCACATAGACAGCAACTAGAGGTGGCGGTAACCCTGCAAGGTAATTATTGCAGTTTATCAAAAACTGCAATAATTACCATTCCAGTGTTAAGGGATCTGAGACACTGTACCCAGACCACATCAACGAGCTGAAGTGATCTGGGTGCCTATAGAATCCCTTTAAGGGTTTATTAGCTTTAAAAGTTATAAATAAAATTCCTTCATTACTGTATAACTTCGAAGCAGTACATGCACTCCCTTTAGTTGCACTGCATGCAGCACATTTAAGACATGTTTTGGAAATGTCCCTTCAATATACTGGTGAACCTCCTCTTGCCTGCATTATTATATTCATGGGTTTTTGAGAAACGCCGATACCCAAGGTCTATTTAAGCAGATTACATTTTGGTTACAAGTTACAACATATAAATTAGCCCTAAGTATCTACACTTCTAAAAAAGATAAAGTTGCCTGAGATTACAGTTAAGTGTTTGGATTTTATACTATGCTTTCATATTCCCCTATTTAACAAAATGTGTTTTGTGAGGTCTGAACAATAAAACTAAATATAGAAAGCCACACTGCTGTATTTAACTCGATCCTGGAACTCCATCTTGACTTCCTGTCCATTTTTGTCATTGAGCAGTAAACACGTTTATGCCTGCTCCCATAATGCAATGTCAGCCTTGCCTGTGCCGAGGCTAAACTGGATTGCAATGTCAATTTTGAAAATTTTCTATTTAATGCTCTCTGTCACAGTTTGGGAACATTGCCAAATTCACAAAGTGCCCCAACAGGGACATTGATGCTAGGGGGTCTGATGGGTGGTAAAGGCAGGCTTTATTTAGCCGAATCTGTCCCTTGCAGGTGTGGCCTCTTTGGTGCTGATGTTACTGCTGTTCGCTTGCCCAAAGTCACGCGTAGACATAGCCAATGCCTTGCCAGCACCCATAACCATTCTCTGAACATCTTCAAAACAGAAGCCTCTGACTGCCCTGGACATGGGGTGCTGCTGATTGATTGGCAGCTGTAGCTTTGAACCAGTTAGTAGCTCCCCATTCGCAAAATGGATTAAGAAACATTATGTATGTAGCTCTGCAGAGATACAAAGTGTTACCGGACCACAAGGGAGCGTCAGAGCCCGACATGTACCTAGCTAAGATGGGGGAGTGGCAAATGGTTTCACCCCACAACCAGAGAGAAGCAAGGGTACTCCTGGTATCATGACCACTACAGCAGGCTGGTCCTTTAAATAAGCCCTTTGCACCAGCTGTTGTAAATCTACTATACCACCACTGCATTGTCTAATACTTGTCTTTAGATACTATGCAAGTTCTTGTTGTACAAGAGAGATGGGGGAGGGTTAATGAACTTCATCTACTGGGGCCAATTAAAATGCATCATAAACTGATTGAGGTATTTAATGGCAGTTACTATGTTGTGTTCCTTCCATTTCACTGGGGATGATGTGTTTTAAAGCTCTACCATTAAGCTAATGGAGATTCTGGCATCACCCACTCATGGGAGTTGGTAGACATGCTAGGAGACAGTCTTAAAGTCCCACATCTGTATATCAATCCACATCCCCGTTTATTTTTTAATTTGAAGACAAAAACGATAACAGTCCATGCATCAAACTGTAATTCTATCACACGAATGGAAAGTAAACGTGTTAGTGATGGTAGGACCTGGCACCTAAACCATGCCAGTCTATTATGGTGCCCATCATGCACAGCCGGTACAATCCGTTTCACGCAGGCTATACTACTGCCCTGTGTAAAGGGGAGAGAGATTCTTGCAGCCATGGGGGAATAAATAAAAATTGTTATGCTACCACTCAGTACCGAAGATATTAAAATAAATAAAATTCACACAAAGCTAAAAACCTAGACAAAATTATAAAACCACTTTTATTTGTACACTTTAGGATTAAGTTAAGCATATATTTTACAGCAGTCATGTACAGAGCAGAGAAGGTGCAGGTAAGTTAAATGTCCTTTTCTTGAACTTGCTTCTTATACTGTTCATGTAATTGCTTCTTGTATGCTAGGAATAAAGCCACATGATTAGAATGAATTATAAAGTTAACAAATGCATCACAGACAAATCAGGTCTTTGGCTAAACAATCTGGATTTTAACTCCCCCTAAATATATTTCCTCCAAGTCACTGCCATCAGTTAATGAGCCATTTATCCCAAATACCAGGTAACCTCTGCATCAGATGGGTAGGGAGAGGGTATAATGTTAACATACGTGGAAGGTTACATGAGTTTCACTATAGTGCCCTCAGGGTCCCCCTCCTGTGGCACTGAAGGGGTTAAAACCCCTTCAGCAGCTTACCTTATTCCTCCCCCGCCAACGTCAGCGTAGCCGCATGAGCAGCAAGTCCCACGCGCGCATTCAAGCTGTCAATAGGAAAGCATTTTTTCAATGCTTTCCTATGGATGCTCGGCGCGATGGAGGCATAACATGCCTCTAGGAGCTGTCCGATAGACAGCCACTTGAGGCTGGTTTAACCCCAAATGTAAACATAGCTTTTTCAGAGAAACTGCTATGTTTGCATCTGGAGGGTTACAATCTGAGGGACCTGGCACCCAAACCACTTCATTGAGCTGAAGTGGTCTGGGTGACTATAATGTCCCTTTAACGATAGCTTGGACATATGGTAGTTTATAAAAAAAAAGTCTAAAATGGCAAAATGTAGGCAAAGATACAATCTGGAAGAAAAAAAAAAAACCCACTTAAAAATGGATACTTTATGCATCAAAACAAACTTTAGCTTAAAGGACCACTATATTGCCAGGAAAACAAATGTTTTTTCTGGCACTATAGGGTCTTTAGGTCCCCCCACCCCAAAGTTCCCACTCCCACTGGGCTGAAGGGGAGACAGCCACTAGAGGCTGGATTAACCCTAGTGTAAACAGTTTCTCTGAAACTGCCAAGTTTACAGCTGCAGGGTTAACACTAGAGTGAACTGGCACCCAGACCACTTCATTGAGCAGAATGGTCCTTTAATGAAGCAGCCTTGGTGTGCAGATCACGTCACAGTGCAGTCTCACCGTTTAATTCTCTGCCATGTAGAAGTCACGTTTGTTCCTGCAGCCCTAACCAAACCTCCCAGCCAGCATGAACAAACTCTTTCATGGGCCATCAGCTTTTACAGCACACTATTTTAGTAGATTTCTCCAGCTCTGTAAACTGAACTTTAAATCTCACACTAAGATCAGGGTTTATAAACCAATCCAATACTTTCCCCAGAGTAAAGAGTTGGGAGGCTAGTGCACATGTGTAGCAAATCTCCACACTGCATCAATCAGATGTCTGAGACCAGTTTTACACTTTCTCGGAAGCTCCTCTAGTGATGGTCAGATTGACTGCCACTAGAGGCAGGTTAACCCAGCAGAGAAAACACTGCTGTTCATGCAGAATGGCAAGGATTTCAGCTGCAGAGTTAAAAAACAGGAGACATGGCACCCAGACCACTTAATTGAGATTAAAGTTGTCCGAGTGCCTATAGTGCTTGTTTAAAGGCAGACTCCAAGCAGTATAACTTCTATAACACATTGTAGCTATGATGCTAAAAATGCCTGGTACCCCATCCCCAAAACAAAGAAATATATTTATATCCCTAATATAAATAGTTTGCTAAACCAACCTGGGATCCTATCACATCTTCCATTGAGAGACACAAGCTCCTGTATTCCTAGCACTATAGTATCCCTTTATGTTTAAAGGACCACTCTAGGCACCCAGACCACTTCAGCTTAATGAAGTGGTCTGGGTGCCTGGTCCAGCTAGGGTTAACCCCTTTTTTCCATAAACATAGCAGTTTCAGAAAAACTGCTATGTTTATGAATGGGTTAAGCCTTCCCCTATTTCCTCTACCGGCTGTCTCACTGACAGCCGCTAGAGGCGCTTGCGTGCTTCTCACTGATTTTCAGTGAGAGCACGCCAGCGTCCATAGGAAAGCATTATGAATGCTTTCCTATGTGACTGGCTGAATGCGCGCGCAGCTCGTGCGCATTCTACCGAATGGGAGGAGAAGAGGAGGATCGGAGGAGGAGAGCTCCCCGCCCAGCGCTGGAAAAAGGTAAGTTTTTACCCCTTTCCTCTCCCCAGAGCCAGGCGGGAGGGGGACCCTGAGGGTGGGGGCAACCTCAGGGCACTATAGTGTTCCTATAAGTATATACCATACCCCTGCAGTCTCACTGCTAAATCCTATGCCATTTAGCAGTTTATATGTCCTGCCAGCCCTCCTGTGAAGCCCTGTGCCCCCACCCCCCTTCTTGAAAATGAGGATTATAGAATCACTAACTAAATAAAAACTTTAGTACAAACTGCATTTTGAAAATTTTTACAAAGTATAGACAGGTCAGGGGTGTGCTACAGTGGTTATGATGCCAGGTGTGCCCCACCAATGTAAGGAGTCAAACGGTTGTCAGAAAGTGCATTCTGTAATGAGTGCCGTTTCCAACTACCATTACAGCATACAGTGAATCTGGAGGCTGTGGGGCCAACGGAGACTCCTAAGCAGGAATGGTTTGACCAGGTGCACTGCCCGCTCCAACCTAAGCGATGCATGGGCTTTAGCACAGATTTCTGGCTCTCAATACTGGGAGATGAAAAAGCAGAACCTAGCATGGCCCAGATAAAAACACAAACAGCTTGACTACTTAAAAGGGAGATACATGAGAGCACTTCTGGCAACAACACTACAGTGTTTGTTATGGTAGTTAAAGTGTTCCTTAAGGATTGAAATACTCCATACAAGTGAACCAGTTTGACAAAACCAAGTTGAGTGAGGAGAGTGGGTTGTATTTAAAAACAATAATAAAAAGTTACCCCCAAATTCTAAAGAGGCACAGGCAACCTTTTGGACTACACCTCCTTAGATCCTTTGCCAGCAATACAAGTAAGAACATTGTGGGGATGTAGTCCACAACATCTGTGTATGAAATCCCTGGTGCAGGGATAGGCAACCTTTGGCATTCCAAAGTATGCTTCTCCAAATAAGTATGTAATTTGAGAGGTACAGTAGCTCTTCAGGGTACAGTAGAACCCAGTATGCAACTACGATACAGAGAACAAGCAAAAGGCATAATGTACTTACCTGTCTGATTCTGCCATAGCTCTGCAGCATGTGGATTCAGTGGACTCTCATTATTGGGCTCTGGTGAACAAAATTGATACATTAGGTTCACACAACACCAGTCATTGACAAACATTTCACACAGTTATGGTATGCAAGTCACTTTATGGTAAATATTTACAAGTTAAAGCCTGTTGTGTTCTTACAGTACAATATCAGTGTGTAAAAGGATCACTTTAGACACCACAACATGCTAGTGGCTATGGTGCAGTTAGAATGTGGGAGACCACGTGAGCAGTTTGACCAAAGTTAGGTCCTCTGCTAGTCCATTACCAAAGTGAACACTCTGGTTATTGAAACTTATGCTGGAATTTGATATTGCCAAGGTGGCAGTAGGAACATATCACGGCTCAGAATTGCCAGTGATCCCTGATATGATGTAAAGCACTTTAGCCATTCCACTAGAATGAGGCCAGGCTACGTCAATCTGGGGATCCAGGTTCCCATTCAGGAGCTATCCCATTGTACAGCATTACGGAATTTGCTGGCGCTATATAAAATAAGATAAACAGAGCACCACAAAATGAGTTTAAAGGGACACTAAAGCCACCAGTACAACTGCAGCTTAAAAAGGAACACTATAGGCACCCAGACTACTTTAGCTTATTGAAGTGACCCTGCAAAGGTAGCTATTGCAGTTTTCCATAAAATGCAATAATTTACCTTTGTGGGTTAACTCCAACTCTAGCGGCTGTTTTCCATACAGACACTAGAGGGACTTCTGGATCGTTAAGCGACTTTTGGTCGCTGGACGTCCTCATGCTATGCATGAGGACATCCAGCATGAAAGATTGTATAATTCTTTGCGGTAAGGGAAGAACCAATGTAAGCGCGGCCATTGCCATGCATGTGCATTAGGTCTACCCCGCTGGCTGAAAATAGCTTTTTCCTGACACTATACTTTCCCTGCAGGCATTTTAAAGTAAATGCTGTATTTTCGGAGAAAAGGCAGGGTTTACATTGCTCACTAGGGTCAGCTCCAGCTGTAGTCACTCAGATGGCAAGTAGAGGTGCCTCCTGGGTCAGTGCTGACATTCAGCACTTTCCCTATAAAGATGCATTGAATCAATGGATCTACGATGAAGTTCTGATTTGCAAGCGCAGCATTTTGCCACCCATGTGCAACAGCCTTACCAATTCTTTCCTATGTGAAAGCATTGTATTGGCTGATATGGTCAATTCTCAGCCAAGGAGGTAGATGAGGGCAGAGCCAGTGCTTGGAAAAAGGTGAGTTCTAACCCTATGTAAGATGGGCAAGGGGGACCAGCCACCTAAATTGTGTTTCTAACATTACAGGTTTTTATTACACACCCTTTACTGTTCCTTTAAAACAAAGTTGGCCCCTGTACAATTTACAGTATTTCTGTATTTTAAAGAGCTTTCCTATTAAGGACAATCAGGTGACTCTGCTGCATTAAAGAAATTCAGTTTAAAATATACATACATTAGCAGGTTCCATAAATCTTGTGATGAAACCTTAGAAATCTGCATAAATGCTAATCAAATGAGTTCTTGCTCATCTGCATAACGACATTTGATTACATCTAAATAACACTTAAGTTAATCAGTGAAAGTTGCCCATGTCTCACAAGTGACAGTTTAAGTCTAATTTAACTTGTGGGGAGATTTTTAGGCAGGCATTAAAAAATAAAAATAATTTTTTAATTAAAAACACAATACCGATAACATTGATAAGAGGATTGGGGTGCAGAGCAAACAAGGAATAGTATCTACATCATGTCCAAATATCTTACCTGCTAAGAGACTTTGAATAGATAGAAGGATAGTTCTGACATCGTACAGAGCAGACCACTTCTCTTTCAGGATGTCAAGACAAATATTTCCGTGAGTGTCTACGTTCGGGTGAAAACACGGTGTGATGAACTTCACAGTGGGGGCATTATAAGGATAGCCACTCGGAAACTCCAGTGAGAGCTTGTACCTCAGGCTCTCATAAACCTACAAAAAGCACAAAACCACAAATCGTGAATCTAGAGTAGTAAGTCTTACAATTATCGCCTACCCAGGAAACCCGTGCTTTCATATAGTAACATTTAAGAGAAATTGTAAAGCAGTTTAGAAAGGTTGTGTGTTCCACAACCTCATGGCACCTCCTTCAGCCAGAGTGGTTATTAATGTTAGTTTTCACTCCTCCGCTCAGGGTCCCACGTTTCATTTTTACTTATAATTAACTTTACTCAATCTCTCTCATGGATACTTAGTTGAGGAACCTTGATAGAAGTTACCTTTTTCAGACAATTGTATCTATTTTGGGTCACTCATATGGTGGGAACGCGTGTCGTGGCTAAATATGTAGGGACTAGCAAGTCATCCTTTGGCTAAAACTTTAGACCAAGTGCAGGGACCAACTGACACATGCACCCTCCCTGTGTTCCCTTATACCTATACGTGAACTACAGGATTTACATTATATACACCTGCTCTATTATATGTACATAGTTTGCATATAGTCCACTTTCAATATACATCAGTTGATTTAGATATGTATATGTTAGAGTGGACTTTTTAGCCCACTTTATGTATTAGACTTTCCTCTTATCATTTGATTTATATGGTATTGGATTCTTGGCATTCAGTGATATCAGGTGGCAAGTTACTCAATAGCCACACATTATCTGTACCTTCGAATCTGGTCCTGGTTGCCACCCATTTGGATGTGGTTCATCTTGTCATTTGACAAGTTATTTCACTGTTTACCTCGTCTCATTTTAGACGACATTACTGTCATACAGCCATAAGTTGGATAAGTTTTTATTAGTTTGTCATTAAAACTTCTATTTTAACATTTACCTCTGGTGTTTCACCACATTCCATTCGTTTCTCTAGTATGTCGAAGGGCTCAAACCCCTTATAGGGTAGTGAATCATCCCTTCTAGACTATGTGTTAACAGTGATAGACAATACCTATATCACATGCAGAAAGTGGACATTATCCGGTCTTTCTACTGAAGAAGCACAACACCCAAAGACAGAGTGGAACTGGTATATGTTCTGGCAATCCTTTAGTAGCAAGATCGGTCCATCCATATATCACTGCAGGGATATTCCAGGTACCAAAACCACTTCATATAACACTCAAATATGTTATAGTACCCAGATTCCACTTATGCCTCCTTCCCTTCAGGAGGTTTGTGGTTTGCCTTTAGGAGTTTCACAAACAGGGATACTAGTCACCAGAACTACAGTTTAATGTAGCTGATCTGATGTATATTGCCTGCTCCTGCAGGCTTCCTAATGTAAACACTTTTCAACACTGGTGCTGAAATCTACAGATAGAGATGCATTGTTTCAATTCACATGCACAATATCCGGATTGTCAAATTTGATACTCTCAGCCAAGGAAGCAAATTCGGGCTGGAAAGAAGGTGAACAAACTTCGAGACACTCCTGCTCAAGCCTTTGTCAATATACTGGTAAATCCCTTGACAAACAGCAGAGCTACTGCTGTCAAGTTTTGTTACATTTCAAACCGTCACTAGTTTTTGCTGTGGGAATAAGATATTGTGCTCATTGCAAGAGGATATCTATGGAGACTCCCACAGTCCTCTATAAACCATTTTGTATGTGCGAGAGTACAGCAGCAACATGGCTCCTGGTAGATGAAGCACCAGGAGCTGAATATGTAAGATAGCAGCACCTACAGGGAAGAGCATCAAGTATGTATATTTCATATCGGCTACACTCCCAAGCCACTGCTATCCAAGTGATGTCCCCATTGGAAGTTAGTGCAAAATATGCAGTGATCCCAGAAGGTTATAAAGATATTCATTTCCGCGATAGAAAAATAGTGAGACACACCCCCAAAAAAAACCTACAATATTAGGAATATGCATCCAACATTGGAAAGTCCTTTTCATTATAACTTTAGCCCTCTACAAGGTTACTTCCCTCAAATCCTTGGTTCCTCAGGGCATGTCTCACAAGAAGTTACATTGGGCAACCCAGACAGAGGTACTACTAAATGGAGCGTACTGCAGGTCTTAGCTCAAGAGGGCTAATTGAATCCCCCATTGATTCTTTATAACAGGGGCACGAAATAGTCACTATATTGGTTATAGAGTTTTGAATGCCCTTTTAATGAGAGCGTGTTGGTGTACAAACACTGCGTCTTCAATCTAACCGCTCAATTAACGGCCATTTATGAGATGCACAAAATACATAAAAATAGTTAAAGCTACATTAGTCACCAAAACAACTTTAGCTTAATGAAACAGTTTTGGTGTATAGATAATGCTCCTGCAATGCTCAATTATCTGCCATTTAGGAGTTAAATCACTTTATTAAACCCTAGTCATACCTCCCTGCATGTGACTTGCACAGCCTTCCTAAACATTTCCTGTAAAGAGTCATCTAATTTTTATCCTTCCTTTATTGCAAGTTCTATTTAATTTAGATTTTCTTATCCCCAGCTACATTAATAGCGTGCTAAACTTTGTAAGTCTCCTGTATGTTTAAAGTTACATTTACAGAGCAATATATAGAATTGTTTAAGGTAAATTACAGCGGATTGAAAGTGAAACCAGTTTTTCCCCCATGCAGGCTGTGTCAATCAGAGCCAGGGGAGGTGTGGCTTGGGCTGCATAAACAGAAACAAAGTGATTTAACTCATAAATGGCAGAGGATTGAGTAGTGAAACCTGAGAGGCATGATCTATACACTAAAACTGCTTCATTAAGCTAGACTTGTTTAGGGGACTATAGTGTTCCTTTAAACTGCTACAGAATAAGTCAACCTACAGCAGTCCATTTGACAGAATAATGCATCAGCTCATGGTGGCCAAGGGGGTTAATAAACAGTTAACTATACTCATCATACAACTAGATCGTGCTCTTGAAGAGTTAGCCAGCATTACATTAGGATTGTAAATTTCCTTACAGTGTCCACAGCTCCATCAATGGTCCCAATCCACTTAAACAGGTTATCAGATTCTGGGAAAGCAGAGATCCCTTTATCACCAGACATCTAAAGACAAAAAAAAATAAAAAATGTCAATTTCAAAAGTCAGCTCAGTAACATCACCCATCCTCCACAGCAACTAAACAGTCAGATACTCACCATCAGAGTCATCAGTTCCTGCTGTAACCTGCAAGAAAAAAAAAAAAAAAATTACTACCGTTATTATTGGCATTTATATAGCACCAACTTATACCGCAGCGCATGGCAATATTATAAAAAAGGGGGAACTATTGAACAATAAACAAGACCATCACAAAACGTTACGGTAACAATAGGTTGATGACAACCCTGTTCAAACAAGCTTACACTTTATTTCCAAGACAGTTTTAAGAATTTTAAACCACTGATTGGCCGAGTGTCCGCTTTCTAAAAAGTGAAATGTCATAAGACAGACGCCACTTTTGGAAGGCTGGGGGGGGGGGGATAGACATTCCTGCTGGAGGAAACTTTGGGGTGTTAGCTTCCTGGCACCATAACAACTGTCCACTTTCTAAAAAGTGGAATGTCATAAGACGGACACCACTTTTGGAAGGGGGGGGGGGGGATAGACATTCCTGCTGGAGGAAACTTTGGGGTGTTAGCTTCCTGGCACCATAACAACTGTCCACTTTCTAAAAAGTGGAATGTCATAAGACGGAAACCACTTTTGGGGGGGCTAGGAGGTGGAAGACAAACTTTGGGGTGTTAGCTTCCTGGCACCATAACAACTTCATTTAGATGTAGCAGTTTTGGTGCCCGGAGTGTCCCTTTAATTGGTTAATAGCTCAGTGATTTTTCTCAGGCTCTCAGCCTTGGACTACATGCCCCATCCCATTATAAATCATTCAGGGAGTTAGAGGAATACAATGCATTAATGAGCAGCTAGTTAAAGGGAAACTCAGCTTAAAGAACTACAAATCCCATGATGCTCTGCTACCGCCAAGGCTAAGAGAGCATCACGGGAGTTGTAGTTCTGCAGTTGCAGTTTTGCTGGCCGTTGCTCCCAGCCTGCGCAGGACGGGGATGCCGGGATCTCACCTCTTGCCCACAGAACCCCTGGCGGCCGCGGCGCCTTGTTCCTTCCCCTTGCGGGCTGCGGCGGAGGAGGCAGCAGCCGGATCTACATTCTGCGAGGCCATCGGTGAGGCGCGGTGACGGCGGGTCGGGGAGCCCTGAGAGAGAGAGCGGAGTCTGTAAGGTGCGAGTTAACGCCTTGGCCGGAGTACTCTGCGTAGCCGGGGCCTCCTGCTTCCGCTCAGCGTCCGAACATCCCGCCCTCTGTTTGAATGTATTAAATCCCGTCCGAGGCAGCCAATGAGCGGGCCGAGCGGGTTTGATTCGACCAATGGCAGCGCGCTGTCAAGGGGGTTACCATGGAGACCGGCGGTTGCTGCATACCTGCTGCGTTTGAAAACGTGGCGCGTGACTGGCCGAGGGGGATGGAACGACGCCTCGCTGTGATTGGACGCGTGCACTGTCAATCACAAGAATCACACATATTCAATTACAGTGACTTAGAGAGCGTCCAAGTGTCCCTGTTTAGGAGGGACAGTCCCTATTTTGCACACAAATTCCTCTATCCCTCTGATCTATCACCATATATATCTATATTTTCTAGCAGCTCCATATTGTTGGAGAGTCTGATGTGTATAACAGAGCTCCTCAGCAATAATAATCCCAGTAATGTGTATTCAAACTACAATAAATGTGTTTAGAAATCAGTCCGGGTAAATAAGATACATTGTTCTTGTTTTAAATTACATATTAGTTGCATAAATTGTTATTAGTAATTCACGTAAAATGTCTCAGAATAGGCCCTGGACACACGCCCACTCTCACCCCTATTATTATTATTCTGATATTTATAGAGCGCCGTCAAATTCCGCAGCGCTTTACAATGAGTGGACGAACAGACGTAGTTGTAACCAGACAAGTTGGACACACAGGAACAGAGGGGTTGAGGGCCCTGCTCAATGAGCTTACATGCTAGAGGGAGTGGGGTAATAATGTGTAAAATAATGTGTCCCTCTTTTGTCCTTTTGAAATGTTAGGAGGTATGCGCAGTGTTGTGACAATTTTTCTGATACATTATAGTCTGGTAAAAACTCAGGTACCCACAATCTCCCCATTAAAATTCTTAGGTACTTAAAGGGATACTATAGTTACCAAAAACAACTCTAGCTTAGCAAAGCAGTTTTTGTGTATAGATAATGCCCTTGAAGTCCCACTGCTCAATTATCTGCCAGGAGTTCACTCTTGTTTCTGTTTACACTTTTGTTCCCTCTTGTTTCGTTTCTGTTGCAGCCCTACCCCCCCTCCCTCTCCCAGCAGTGGCACATACATCATTCGTGGAAAAAATGGTTTCATTTTCAATCAGATGTTGAAGGAACTCTAGAATGTCAAAACTACAAACATGTATCCCTGACATTATAGTGCTGACGATGATTTTTAGGTGATCGACTGCTGCGATCACACTGAAAAGGTGATTTTACTGACCTTATTTCCCACGCTGCAATGGCATCACTGCAGCTGGCTTAGCTCCATGGAGATCATTAAAGGATCACTATAGTGTCAGGAAAACTAAGCGGTTTTCCTGACACTATAGTGCCTTAAGGGTGCCCCCACCCTCAGGGTCCCCCTCCCTTGACGCTGAAGGGGTAAAACTTACCTTAATCGAGCGCCGGGCTCCCTCGGCGCTGGTGACCTCTCCTCCCCCGCTGACGGCAGCTCTCAATGCTTTCCAATGGACGTTCTGCACGCTGGATGCGAAATTCGCAGATGTGCCTCTAGCAGCTGTCAGGAAGACAGCCACTAGAGGCTGGATTAACCCTGCAATGTAAACAAAGCAGTTTCTCTGCTATGAAACTGCTAAGCATAGCAGTTTCATCTCTGAAACTGCTATGCTTACGGCTGCAGGGTTAAAACCTGGGGGACCTGGCACCCAGACCATTTCATTGAGCTGAAGTGGTCTGGGTAACTATAGTGTCCCTTTAAAGGAACACTGATCATTTAATGGAGATCATTAAAGGAACATTATAGTGACAGGAATACAAACGTGTATTCCTGTCACTATGGTGTTAAAAACACTATTTAAGTGGCTGGCCGCACCTTGTCCCCATTAAAAAGCTAATAAACTTACCTTTTTTTTTTCTCAGTACCACTGTGGCAGGTTCCTCCCCCTCCCCCAACTCCTTGGCTGAGATAATCAAAACTGACGATCTCAGCCAATCCACTGCTTTACCATAGGAAAGCATTGGGAAGCTATTGCACATAAGCGGCAAATTGCCCTGTGTTCAGGGATTCGATGCAGAGCGTGACCCGGGAAGCACTAGTAGTGGCAGTTTGAGTGACGACCTCTATAGGTGTTACTAAGCAGTATTTTAAACTCTGCCTTTTCTCTGAAAAGGCAGTGTTTACATTAGAATGCCTGCAGGGACATAGTATAGACACCAGAACAACTGCATTAAGCTGTAGTTGTTCTGGTGACCATAGTGTCCCTTTAACCCCTTAAGGACACATGACATGTGTGACATGTCATGATTTCCTTTTATTCCAGAAGTTTGGTCCTTAAGGGGTTAATCTTTATGATCTCAGTGAATCCAATGCTTTCCAGTAGGAAAGTATTGATAGGCTATTGGCCAGGGCTGCATAAATAAAGTGATTTAACCCCTAAATGGCAGATAATTGAGCAGTAAGAGTCCAGGGCATGATCTGTACACCATAACTGCTTCATTAAAGGGACACTGTATGCACCCAGACCACTTCAGCTAATTGAAGTAGTCTGAGTGCTGTGACCCTTTTGCACTTAGTGCTGTAAAAAATTGCCGTTCCAGAAAATTGCAATGTTTACATTGCAGCTCTATGTCTGCCCTCTGTGGCTGTCTAACAGACAGCCACTAGAGGGCTTCTGGAATCCAAACAGACTTTTGGTCCGTTATCTGACACTGGACGTCCTCACGCTCTGCATGAAGACACCCAGCGTCAGATTTTCCCCATAGGAAAGTATTAAATAATGCTTTCCTATGGGGAGGTGTAATGCGCGCATGGCCATTGCCGCGCATGCACATTAAGTCTCCCCCGACGGCTGACGTCGGCGGGGGAGGAGTGTGGGCGGAGCCTGACCCAGCACAGAGTGACATCGGCGCTGAATTCAGGTAAGTGGCTGAGGGGGTTGAACGGAGGGGGCCACATGTTTTTCTATATAGGCTCCCTTTAAGTTAAAGTTGTTTTGGTGTACAGTATATTAGGAAGACATTGATCCCCCTACCTCAAGGGGGATCTGACGAAAGTAGGTAATTTTGCAAAAGCATGCATTTGGTATAATCAGAATGATTTATTGCATAATGTTATATGAGATGTGTTAGTCAGCTAAACCGAAGATAAATCATGTTCAGATGTCCTTGCAGTGATGGTTTGAAATAACTATTGGGGAATTTCCAATGTGTTTTGTTCAGTAAGAGCAAAGTGTAGTAAACTAGAACCCTAATTGCAGAATTTAGGTAGCTATAGGTGATTGACCATTTTAGCCTGTATTTTACAAATCAGTTTTCAATCCATTACAATTCGGTATTGCATTAATAAACTCCAAAGTCTCTTTATACAAGGTAAGTATTTTAAATGTTAGGCCAACATTGCTGAAATTGGAAACATTCCCCTAGTCATTGTGGCAAAAGTAACCTCGCCATGGGCTCTTGGAGTTGCCTGCTGGCCAGCCTCCAACCTCAGGACTATGGCCCCTGTAATAGACCTTGGTCCGTGCACGTTTAACAGGCTCTGTTCATGCCTTTAGACTTCTATGGTTCGGTATATGGGGCTTACCGAATGGATTAGGAGTATTGTGTTCGTAAACTCTTGGACCACGTGTGGGAGACGTGTGCTGCTTATTAACCTTATTGACATCGTTAACCGCAACATTCTAAGTGTTTAGCTGGGTGGCCATCATTCGTATGTGTGAACACGTGGCAGCGGCCATCTTTAGCCGCGAACGCGTACAGTGGTGTATGGAACTATAATCTGGAACTCGACAGCGCGAACACCATTGGGACTTCCATCTCTATGTATGTTCGGCTGGATTCGTATGAGAAGAGCAGCGTTCGGTGGGAGCAAGCTTCCAAACGAGGGACATAGACTGAGCATACCCAAGAACCGCTACGTTCGGTACTTTTACTGTACTCTTTGCACTCCCGAAAAAGGAACTGTTTAGGGAGGAGCCTCGTGTGCGGTCGGTAAAATTATGAGTTCCGTGGAAATCCCGAACCCGTGAACCGATCTGGGTGATTTTTGGATATGTTGGTCCCCCAGATTGGGGCTATCAGGGGATATAACTGTTGTGAGGTTTCCATGTGTTTTGGGGGTACTTTTGGGATGTTGTTAAAATGTATGTTTTCTGTGCCTGGAGATAATTGAGTTTAGTACAGTTCCTGACTCAATTATCTCTCAGACACAGGGGAGGGATTAACCTGTTTTGTGTGGGAGTGTAATGGACCTGTAATTCTGTGTTTTTTTATGTAGTTCCCTCTCAGGTCCAGTGGGGTATGACCCTGGAATATGTTGTGGAAAACCCTTTGCATGGGGACCTGCACATAATGGCCAGTTGTGGCTGCCAATAAACCAGTTCCTCTTCGCCCTCAACATAGAGCCTCGTCTCATGTGTGGAGAGAACAGCTATATTCACTCTGGTGTTTACTATACTCATTTTACTCCCTTGGATTATAATCAATAGCCCTTGTAAGAGCTATCCTGCTTTACTCTCTGGAGTAGGGGAGGTCTACCCACTGGAAGCTGGATCCCGGTCTTGGGTCCAGGGTAGGTGGAGGACAACAAGACCCCATTCAAGCTGTAATGCTGGCTGCGGGGATTACGGTGGTTATGGTGTCTGGTTAAGTGCTTGGAAGTACTCTGGAATACTAGGAAGCATTAATTGTCGGAGTCACTCAGTTGGGGTGCCGGGCGGTCCGCCACAGTCAGCTATAAGTCAGTTAAGCTATTTTGGCCTAAACTTTGGAAACTAGACTTTTGACAAAAATGTGTTTCAGATCGTTCCTCCAGAATATATTAATTTTTATGCCTCCCAATATTGGGAGGTATGAGATCAAGAAAGATGGACCTGCCCAAAAAAAGAATGGGCCAGTGTCCCATCAAATGTCCTAGCCCCATTAGAATTCTCAACCCCCACCACTTCCGGGGATGCTATAGCACTTGCAATGGTCTGGAAAGGTTGCATGTGTGCATGCACTGGTGGGAATGTGTCCATGTGATAGGTTACTGCACATGCTATACTAGTGCATGCACATTTGCAGCATAAGAATACCCTACCCTGTACTGCACATGCATACTGCACAGCTGATGTTGGAGCATGTGCACTTTCAGTGTGAATAAACCCTACCATAATACTGCGCAAGCGCCTGGTGCGCATGCACACATCACCCCGTGAGGATCCCATACCCTCCCTCCTGGTACACGGGTAAGCCAACATCCAGCTTATTCAGCCTCACTGGTGGTAGGGAAATATGATAGAACACTGAATGGCCCTGTCTGGCTGACCCTTAACTTGCAAGACCTTACAGATAGAGCTGTTGAAGTTCTCTCTGCGGGGTCTTAATGCTTGTGCCAAGAGCAAGCACCTCTAATGATTCGCTAACACTGTGGTGCCTGAGGACATTTTCCGTATCCATGGAACTAAATCAAAATGGCGGAACACGACCCTACAATCGATGCCTGAACAAATCAATCATTCAATAAACAAGACTCCACAGGTAAATCAGATGATAAATTAGTCTAGGTGTGAATTAAAAGGAATTTCATTTGGATGAATCGGAGGAAACTAGTTTTTGCACAAGGTTATAAATCACTGTGAATTCCCAACATTCCACACTTCGGTGAAAAACACTGTAAATCTTCTAAATGCATCGTCGAAGAACAAGTGTGTGTTACACTGACAAGTGTGTTTTATTAAAGTTTACATTTTTGGCTTATGTAACAGTTTTTCTCCTTCCGTCCATTTTGTTGTTGCTGTTTTGTTCTTAAATTTCCTAATATGTCATTTTTTCAGTTTCTTGCAAAAATATATGCATTAGGATCCATGAACCAGTCTGCCAACGCCATCTACTGGAGCAGATGGAATTTTTCACTAAATGTTACGTAATTTCAAGTGAACACTTTATTATTATTATTATTAATTTTGCCATTTTTATAGCGCCAACAGATTCCGTAGCGGGATTTAACTATAAATAGGACAATTACAAGAAAAACTTACAGGAACGATAGGTTGAAGAGGACCCTGCTCAAATGAGCTTACAGTCTACAGACTTTCTTTTATTGTACAATGCAGTGTTATTCCTTTAAACACTGCCTACTTTTACACGGATTAAAGAGAATAATAAACTTTTTCGCATATAATTTGTTTTCGGGTACTTTTGGGACTTTTAGAAATGTATGTTTTTTATGTGCATGGAGATAATTGGATTAGAATTAGTACAGCTCCTGGTCCAATGATCTCCCAAGCAGAGGGGAGGGATTATGTGTCGTGTGGGAGTGCCTTACATTGTAAATGTGTTATTATTGGTTTGTAAGTTTGTGTCACTGTCCCCAACAAGGTCCATGTTTGGGGACTTACATAAAAGGCCAAGTGTGGCACCACTAAAATCTGTTCCAGTTTACACTCCAAAGCTGTGTTGTCCTGTTATTGGAGGGAAAGAAGATTTACTCCTGTGTCTACAGTTCCAGCTTGCAGGGGATTCAACGGGGAAAGTCCTTGTAAGGACTAGAGTTAAGTCCCCATCCAGCTCCAGGAAGGAGCGGTTCCAGGGCCCCAGTCAAGCCACAGCGACTGTGGGCAGAAGTGCTGCTGTTTGTCCCCTGTTCCAGCTAGGAAGCGGTCCTTGGCAGAGGTACCCAGCCGGGGTACAGGGAGCTCCATCACAATGGGTATACAACTTTCCCCTCCAAAAAACCTTAAAGGAACACTATAGACACCCAGTGAAATGATCTTGGTTCCATGTCCCTCCCACACTCCCAGTTCTAACTCTGCATCTTAGAACATTGCCTTTATTCAGAATAGCAATGTTTTCATTGCAGGCTTAAAATGCCTCTATTGGCTGTGACTCAGACAGCCAGTAAAGAAGCTTACGCAGTAATAGCAGGAGAAAAGAGAAACTGATTGACGCAGCGCAGTGTTTTGCCACTGATGCGCACTAGCCTCCCAATGCTTTCTCATGGGAAAGCATTGGATAGGTCATGAACATCGATCACAGTGATCTCAGCCGAAGAGGTGGAGCGGCACACCGGAGACCATCATTGCAAAGTTGAAAAGGCAAGCTAACTTTTAAACCCCTGCAGCGGATAACTTTTTAAACAGTGACTATAGTTAGTCTTCCTTTAAAAAGTTTATTAGTTAACTAGGAGAAGGACTTGAATGTAAGGCTGGAACAAGTGGGTTACTGAGTAGAGCACGTATTCAAACCCTTTGCCATCCGTGTTTTAAAATCCCTCTAAGCTGCACGACTGGACTTAGCTTAGTGTTAGAGCTTCCATCTGAAGAGAAGGCTCAACGGATCACAGGTAAGTTGTCAAAAGAGCATTAAATGTCTTGACTTACACTGGGTAGATGCCAGTAAAACTCCTAGCCCAATAACCAGTATAGGGGGGCTGTAGTGGTTAAGGACCTATGGTACTCGGGCAGTTCCTTTATTGTCTGTGTTAATAATGGAGATGGGATGATAGAGTCTACAGGCTGTTGGGTGTCTTCCTTGGGAGATGACAACTATTCGTGCCCTATGCATATTTTTGGAGGGTGTGTGTGGTCTTCAAGAAAAAATATGTAGCCCTTTAGATCGTGTGGGTCAAAGTCCCGCAACAAGAATGGTTCCCGAGAACAGTGCTGCGGCTCTGTAATGGTTGCGTCCCCGCAGTGCATGGAGGTAAAACTGTAAGACCTAGCACCAGGAATATATAGTATGCTGAGCGCATGTTCGAGCAAGTTAAAGAGTACACAGTGCTATTACCAGAAGAGGAACAGAATGTTGTGTTAGCACGTTGCACTTAGCTGTGGCACACTGTCTGTAATATTTATTAATGGGCACACTGTGATATTTTAATTGGCAAACTGACTGTAATATTTATCAATGCGCAAACTGATTGTGGTATTTATTAATGTGCACATTGAATGTGGTATTTATTAATTGGCAAACTTACTTTGTTATTTATTAATGGACAAACTTACTGTGATATTTATTAATTGGCAAACTCACTGTGGTATATATTAATGTACACATTTATTGTGGTGTTTATTAAAGGGCAAACTTACTGTGGTATTTTTGAATGGACACCTGGCTTGGCATGCGTTTAATGTGCAAACTGACTGTGGTATATTTTTTAATGGGAAAACTGACTGTGGCATGATGGCAGGCCAGTGACCCAAGGCATTAATTGCACTGCGAAAAGGGGCAGACCCACGTGGAATGTGGGGCCACCCAAAGAGCCATGTTTGTCAGTGCCATTTGGAGCGGACCATGTACAAAGACCATGAACCATCTAACAATGTGCTCTCACTAGAGCATTCCATGGTGTCCCAAAAGCAGTACACCAGGGAACAAACCCAAGATGGCGGGACAGGTGCCCAAAATCGCTACTGACCAGTCTTTTTTAGGACAGTCGGGAGGCCCAGGATTCTCCATCTGGATTAGACCAGACGCAGCCGTGGGCACTCCAAGTAATTCCAGGTAAGTTGCGAAACCATAATAAGATGGTTTGACATCTTAAAGCGGGATGATGCCTGATACCCCTGGCACCATAACCACTATAACAAGCAGTAGTGGTTATGGTGCTTAGAATCTTCCTTATAATGTTTTAAAGCTATTTTGAATTCTTACAATTCACATACAGTATTAATTTGTTTCTAAATATTATTTAAAAAAAAAAAAAAAAAAACACATCTCACCCTCCAAAAATTATTCTACATTATTTATTTTAGCCTCTTATACTGATTTCGGTTTTACTTCCACTTGACATTTGTCTTACAGACCCCCTGTTTAGTAAATAACCCCCTGACACAGTATGCTGGAGTTTGAGGTCCCCCCCTCCCACCACTCTCAGCCCAGCTCTGATCACTGCAGCTGCTCTGCCTGTGCACAGGTTGGGTGTCGCGGCTCGATGACGTCACCGCGCCGCTGTTGTGAGTGATGTGAAGATGGGAACAGGTAGAGATCCCGAGCTCAGAGCCCACAGTGGGGATGGAGAGGAGGGAGACACGGAGGACTGTACATCCACGGTGAGCAAGAGGCAGGGAGCCGGGGGGAAGGGGGAGGAAGGGTTTATATTAGGAAATGATGGAGATTTCATTCTGATTTTCAGAACCCATGGAATATCATGATCAAACACCGCCAGGTACATCGCAGGGGGAGGCGCACACACATATCTGCCAGGTAAGTGGCCACTCAGCTCTCAGACAGGTCTCTTCATTGGCAGCCAATCTGTGGCATTGTGAATCTTTCAAACAAACACAGGACATGGGGCTGGCTAATAGGACATGGGGCTGGCTAACAGGACATGGGGCTGGCTAACAGGACATGGGGCTGGCTAACATTACATGGGGCTGGCTAACATTACATGGGGCTGGCTAACAGGACATGGGGCTGGCTAACAGGACATGGGGCTGGCTAACAGGACATGGGGCTGGCTAACAGGACATGGGGCTGGCTAACAGGACATGGGGCTGGCTAACATTACATGGGGCTGGCTAACATTACATGGGGCTGGCTAACAGGACATGGGGCTGGCTAACAGGACATGGGGCTGGCTAACTGTTGGCATTCCACATAGGGTGGAGTGTGTTTCCTCTGATGCTCAAATGTCTGTCAGAGTGTCATGAAAAAGGCAAGTCCCTGCAGATGGAAAGCAAATGATTTAAACATGACAGGTTACGTCCCACAGCAGGGTTTATTAACTAAACATCAAATTACAGGCTAAACGGAAGCTGTGTTTGACATGGGGCTGGCTAAGTGTACATGGGGCTGGCTAAGTGTACATGGGGCTGGCTAAGCGTACATGAGGCTGGCTAAGCGTACATGAGGCTGGCTAAGCGTACATGGGGCTGGCTAAGCGTACATGGGGCTGGCTAAGCGTACATGGGGCTGGCTAAGCGTACATGGGGCTGGCTAAGCGTACATGGGGCTGGCTAAGCGTACGTGGGGCTGTCTAACTGTACATGGGGCTGGCTAACTGTTGGCACTCCACATAGGGTGGGGTGTGTTTCCTCTGATGCTCAAATGTCGTCTGTTAGAGTGTCATGACAAAGGCAAGTCCCTGCAGATGGAAAGGAAATGATTAAACATGACAGGTTACCTCCCACAGCAGGGTTTATTAACTAAACATCAAATTACAGGCTAAACGGAAGCTGTGTTTGATTTAGAAACATTTCTCTAACTCAGATGTAGTCACAGATTGGACCTAATTTCAAAATTCTGATTGTGAATTACTACAAATATACGCCCAAACCAAACATTTTGCTATGGGCTTTTAGGGAAATTGTATTCTGCGTGAATGATGTAAAATCTTATCTTCCTGGCAGGACACATCCATATAGAGATTACTAAATAAAGTAGCAGTATGGCGACTGCTGCCTATGACATATAGTGACTAATCATCTGTTTGTTCTTTGGTATCACTCACTACTGGAGCTTTTGTTGAATATTTTATGTGGGTTTTTTTTTGTGTTTTGTTTTTAGCTTTACAGACCCTGCGGTCTCCATGGAACTACTGCGGGCTGTGCTGCAGCCTACTATTAATGAAGAGATTCAGGGTGTTTTCAATAAGTACATGAAGGTAATATATTCACATTTTCATCTGCAGGGAAATACTTGAGTGTTGTGGCTTCTACCGAAAATTGCCAGCTCTGTCCAGACTACAAACACCTTTCAGGATATACCATTGTTTGCTTTAGGGAAGTTGTGATGGTCCCACAAGTATCCCTGAAGATGTATGGTGATGAAGTATATGCTAGGACTAGACATCTAGTAAAATTATGTCTATATTTATAATTAGAGTAGATGGATTAGCAATGAGGAGAACCACCAGACTCTACATTCTCCAGAAGCAGAAAGTTCCTTCAGAACACTTCCATCAAGCACTAACTATAGTAACAATCCTGCGCACTCTGCAATAATTAGCAAATTACATTTATACATCCATCCAAAAAAGTAGACCACATTTTTCCTGAAGTTTTCTTTCTCCAGCATTTTGAGAAATTTGTTTGGGTGTTGAAACGTTGCCCATTTTTTGAATGGTTAATATTTAATTTGGAAATAATTGTGGATCTGTGAGGTTTATTATTATTATTATTTTGTTACTGCATATTGACGCTTTTGTCTCTGCACCAGCACCCAGTTTTTAGGGATTTTCTATAGGAGGGCCTGCTACATATCATACCTTCTTTCAAGCTCTGTCTGTTAGGATGTTGGACAGGAGAGCATTATGTTTGAGCTAAGAGAGACCGTCACCTAATTTGCAGACCGCGGGGTTGATCAGGGGAGGCCTTTTGATCGTCCTTGACTACTAGGGAGACGTTTTTGGCACCTAAGTAACAATTCTGTGTTGCCGTGGTAATTTCGTACTTGAATTTCAAGTTTAAATATAAGTGAATCTGCAGTAATTAATTCCTTTTTAAGTTCATTAACATTTCTCCTGTGTAGTTTTTTCAGAAGGCTGCTGGGAATGTAAGAGATAATATCGGTGAGCAGGTGGATCCAGAACAACTAATCCGTGAGACATGCCGTAGCTGCCTGGAGCAGGTAACACATGAAATCTAAAATTCTCTGATGTGGTTAGAGTAACTTTTTACACGTTAATTGTTTCTGTTACATATATCCAGGCCAAGGTTCTATTTCCTGATAAAGAGAAATCTGCGCAGAAACCTATCTCTGATATGCCTCTGTCGAAGGTGAGACACAAGCAGACATTTTTAGTGCATTCACCTGTCCTTTTAGCCCAACTTTTATAAAAGAAAAATAAGCAGTGACAGGTGTTCTTTGGTTTCAGCTGTCGGGCAAAAAGGCGAAATGAATAAATGATACCGTTAATTAGGCAATTGCCTAAGGGTGATTTAACATTTAGAATTTGGTCAGAATAAAGGATGCATGTATTTTGGGCCATCTAGTGATGGAGTTGAATTTTGGCCTTTGGACTATTTTCCTTAGTACTGACTTGTGATTTGTTGACTTATATATAGAGAGCAAGACAAATTGAAGAAGAAGTTACCATGCGGAAGAGTCCAGTTCCCAAGAAGGTAATTTGCAACTCACCTGCAGGAGATAAGAAATGTTGGCACTACACCAGTGTGGCAACGCTCCACAGAGGTCTCCGCTGACCTCCGAGAACCAGCGTTGTCTGGGAATGGACTCGCTGTGCAGGATTTGACAACTACGCCCTACAGTCTGCTACTTGGCTGTTACCGCCATCTCATATCGCCGTGCCATTACTTATCGTTATGTGCTTAGATATAGTTTAAGCTTCACCCATATTTATCTTTTTAGTTATAACAAACTTAAAGAGGGGATCAGGACCATACAAATGGGGTTAACCATCAAGCTGTGCATAAGTGTTCTGCAGTGGGGGGATACAGTGGTAAACCTAACTTGTTGGTCTTAGATTGAACAGTGAACCTAGCATGTTATTTACAATCGATACACACAGCCAGGAGAGATCATGGTGGAGTTGGCGTGTCTTTAGTCTTTACCCGGTTTAATTTTTCTGCTATTGCTTGTCCCTATCTCCTGCATTTGAGAGTGTTTGTTTATTTTGTACTGACCATGCATTATATGTCACATATAACTTGACCAATCATAATAACCTCTAGAGTCAGCAGGGTTGGCACATGATTCCTGCTTATTAACTTTGTGTTAAACTAGCATGTTAAAGGTTGAACAAACCATATACTCTCCATGCCAGGAATTTCTAATATGAGTGCATATATTGTGTTAGACATGATTTCCTGATAATAATATTGAGACCGCATAAATTGTTAGAAGCCTAGATGTGTATTGCTTATCCTGTTTGAATCTTGCTTTTCAAAAAAAAAAAAAAAGAGGCTGTATATTGCAGAGTTTAGCTCTATATGCATATCTACTATACTACTGTCAAGTACACACTTGCTATCACTCCTGTATCTTTTTTATGCCTCTAATAAAAACCAGATTGACCAAAAAATTTTTACAAAATGTTGGCATAATTAGTCTATATCTTACACTTGTCTGTGTTACAGAGGAAGGGACGGCCTCCTGGACAATCTCTGGGTAATGACCGAGGTTCCACAACATTCACACCGTAAGTTGAAGAGTAATCTTACCTGCAATTCTAATTTACTAAGCCATGTTCGTTTAAAATAATCTAGATAGGAAAAATCTCCGCCTTACTATAAAGAAAGGATTAACGACTTCCTTGAATTTTATTTCCGCAGATACTTTTATAGTGACACCTGTATTACTAATAGGAAACTAGGACTTGTTGTGTCCCCATCGTTTCTAGAAAAAAGTACTAGTTAGTTCATAAAAGAATAGTTGAGTTTGTGACATTATTTTCTACATTAAGAGTGTTAGATTGAATGTTTTCATCTGGTGACATTTTCCGCTTTGATCCTCAGATTGAAAAAAACTGAACCCATCAGACGGGAGGGACCAAAGGTAGGAAAAAAAAGTTTTAGTTTTGTTTGTTTTAGATATGTGGTTGATATAGTGTAGGAGTAATTAATTTATGACATGTTTTTTATTTAATGCAGTGGGATCCAGCTAGATTAAATGAGAGAGCCACCTTCGTGCTGGGATCACGAGCTAACAAGTAAGTGTTGGTAGCCTTTCTAAATTGTTTTACTGAAATATAGAATATTGGTGATGTAATATTTGTAAGGGTCTTAAAAGTTAAACTATGATAAAAACTATAAGAAAAGAGATACCTCAGGGGGCTAAAGGAAGAGCGAAGACAGCGTGTGCCTGTAGCCCACGAATATCCGTTCCTCAGAAGCCCATCAGAGATTTACCCACAACAAGAGTGGCAACTCAGAGGGCAAAAAATGTTTAAATATATGTCTAAAATTCTCTTTTGTACAAATATTTAAACAAATATAAGGGGACTGAAGCTCCTGTACCACAGCCTGCTCTGCACAGCTCGACCACGCTACACTGAGTGACTGGTAGGGGGAGCGCTGTGCCCTGTGCTGCCTCATGGACTTGCCGGCCCTGCGTGCGCTGGGCCACGACACGTCTCACATATTCAGTAATATCTGTATCAATAGTGGGCGATACCGATATTTACCAAAATCCGGAATATCGTCCAAACCGATAATCGTTCGATCCCTACTGAGAGTGCAGCGGGTCACTGGCTAGTAGTGTACACTTTTTTTTTTTTTTATTCTTTATTTTTGGTTTAATCCTCAAATATATGTTCATGACATAGGGACAAAAAGAAAGGTATTCATCAGGGCAAACATGCCAACGTGGTATTCAAAAATATGTTACACATTTCAAACAAGGGATTGAATTATTTCTGCAAACATGAAAGGCATGAGAACGATGATTCAAATGGGGCACATCACTAATTCAATTTCAGTCTAAGCTAAATCTACAATCTATACAGACTTGACATAACATAAGCGGTAAATCCATAGGCTCGGCATAGTGCCATAGTGTCAGGAGCTTATTGAGTCTGGGGTGTTCTTGACGGTGTACAAAATTACACCTGGCTGTCTCAGAAATAAGTGTGACTGTTCCCCTAAACGCTTTAGTAGGTGGGGGGGTTGTTAGTTTGGTCTAGAGACCGATCTATGGGGTAAGAGATCTACACTCAGTTGTATCTGTCATAGATGAGAGAAAGGAGATAGACTATGTTCCACCGTTTATTCTATCTATTGATAGACCACTGCTAAACACAGTAAAACATTTAGGTGGTTAGCATGGCATGGCGGTCTTGCCCTGGTTGCCTCGGAATGAAGATGGCTACTGTGTCTGGATCCCAACAGTGGAACAGTTCGGTAGTACTTCGGGTCTTGGTAAGATGTAGGGAGTCCTGAGAGTGATGCAGTATTTCAGATGCTGGTATGTCTTCCGAGATGCCCCTTATTTTTAAGTTATGTTTGCGCCATGCGTCCTCCAATGCAGCAAGCGGCGCTCATAAGCTTCATTTTGGCTTTGAAGAACCTGGACAACTTGTTGTAAGGTGGTAAGTTGGTTTACACAGTCCCCGTAGGTAGTCTCCAAAGCCCCCATCAAGCCTTTAATATCAGAGCGAAGCACAGCTACATCAGATTGGATCGTTCTCTGTAGGTCTGCCAGTAATGTCTTCAGGACTGTGGTTATGACTGGTGAGTTGTCAGGACTTGGGAGAGCTGGTGCTGGGTTAGGCTTAATAGGTAAGTGTACATACATCATCCTCTTTATTAGAAAAGTAATTGGAGACTTCGGAGTATGTCTCCGCATAGGCGGCCATATTGGGCCCAGCTGCCCTATGTGCTTGCCGCAGGAGGTCTCCGTTGCGGAGTCCTTTCCGCGGCTTTTCAGCTTTTTGTTTTTTTTGTTTGTTTGTCTTTCGACCCATTCTGTCTCCATGTCTGCAGCCAAGTTTCTGCAGCCGTGCAGTTCGGACTTTGAAGCCCAAAATAGGTGAGAATAGCCGACAGTATGCAGGAGCTCTATCTCCATGCGACCAGTCTGCTCTGTTGTTCGGCTCCGCCTCTCTACACTGGATAGTCTTAATAAAGAAAAGAGCCCAGGTTGTTTAAGTGATAACACCTGTTCTGACAAGGAAGAAACCCAAGGACGAATCACTGGGAATTTAGACACAGACTAGTGCATATGCCATAAAGCTGCCAGATCTGAAGCAAGACAGACATAAACTGGGTAGCCTGGTCTAACAGAATCTCTCTGGGTAAACTTATGCTCCCAAATATTAAAATGGGAGTCTCCGCTACAAGTAGGTCTAGTGCCACAGCTTCCGGGTACCAAACTTCTAATCCACCATGATACGGTTGTACCTTTTGTTCATAGAGCTGTCTTTTAAAAATGGGATCACTAGCACTTTACTGACTACAGAGCAAGTCAGAAGTGCATCAGGTACTTGAGGTGTAGCCATGATCTAGGTACTCATCAGTGGGTCTACCTCTGCAGAATGCTGTATTATTCTTAGTGTTTACTTCTGGCATGCTAGGAGGGCATACTGCTGCTATTTGCTTTGGCTGGCATAGATTTATTGGATTTTGTCCAAAAACATCCACATGGATACTAGACATCGGCCCCTATTATGTGCCTACCTTTGCCTGTGCTCCATTCCAAAAAACATGAAAGGTTGGATTTTGTGATGTTTTGCTCCAGCTCTGTTGATTATTTCATGAGTATCCAAGTGAAAGTCTTAACACAAAGCCCCTTCAAAGCATTACATGGTTTTCATTCCAAGGATCCAAGGAGGCTTTATATGGGTCGTCCAGGCAGTAGGCCTGGGAGCAGATGCTGATTCCCTTGGAGGTGTACACTGGCCATCACATGTCCTGATGGTCTGCTTACTGCCATTATTGCCGGTGGTTGGTCCTTGACAGAACCTTAATACTCCTGTGACTTCTTATTAGTGCTTTGGTTGTGGGATTCCAGGTCAGGTATATTCTTCTGACTAGCTGGGGCTTTCTATGAGAGTTTGTATAGAAGCTGCTAACGATTGTCATTTCATTAAGCTACTAGGCAAGTTAGCTTAAGCAGCTATTGGCTCTCAGAATGATTTCATTTATATGTCTAAAATATATGAAACTACAATGGAGAGCAGAACTACTGCACATAAACCTTTTGCTTAACGCAAATATGTGCTGAATAAAGTCGATATACTGCAGTATACTTTCCCCAGCACATGAATTTGAATCCATAAGTGAGCCTATTGCTCCCTGTGATACAGAATTAATATGCAATGTTTATCTTTGCTTTACAAGGGCCCTAGGCATGGGAGGGACCAGGGGACGTCTTTACATCAAACATCCTGAGCTATTTAAGGTAAGTGATACTATTACGCTGTTTTACTGGAGCCATTTCATGTACAAGGATTCTCGTTGTTAATTATACATGAACATGAGACTTTGTCATGGATAAGCTGCTTGATTTAAAAAAAAAAAAACTTTCTTCATACTTCATATATTTATTCTTCATCCCTTTTTAATCCTCAAAAAAATACCGATTCATGCATAATTTTTAATCTTGGAATTTCAAGCTAATGGATCTTTGGAATGTGATGATAAATATTGTCATCCATTGCTTCTCAGAGAGGAGTGCACACAGGTCAGACTCCCAATGCAAGATGAACCGGGGAGGCACATTAGGGCCCCTGGTCAGAATTGATGAATCTAAACTAGATATGATTTTTTTTCTAAGTGCTCCCAAGCTGTGCAATGAGTTTTAAACCGAGTCAATTTCCTGTGTGAGTTCCACCTTCATGGTGGGAATTGTAGTAATGCTGTATTCGAAAATAGCAGAACAACCCGAGACCTGTCATTGGGCAGTCAAGAATCCATTCAGGAAGAGGTTTTAGGGTATCAGAGGTGATCGTCTCCCATTTTCTAGAAGTTGCGAGATTTTACAGCTGGACGTGAGTGGAATCCAAACTACAGAGCATACTCTGTAATCTTCACACCAAAAGCTGTAGGAGGACCTGGATTGACCAGGACATATTGCAGTCACTTCCTTCATAATGGAATGGTCTATGGAGGGAGATCAGAACTTAAGGATTTCCTGCAACAGAAGAAAGTTCACGTTTCTCTTTAACATTGTTTTATTAAACACTGTTCTAGATACCAGACACTCATTATTGGATACACATCTCGTGCGATGTTGGTATTTTGTAGTCTATTTATTTGAATTTTATCTCTTACTATATATGTGGCTGGAGCTGCGTTATCTATATGTCCATTTCCTTTTTTTTTTTTTTTTTTTTGCAGTATGCCGCAGACCCACAGGACAAACAGTGGCTTACAGAAAAGCAGCACATGAGAGCCACGGGTGGAAAAATGGTGAGTTTTTCTGGAAAGATACAGAATTCATTATGGTTTTATTCTTAGTAATGGAGGTAAAAAGGGTGTTCATTAACTAGTGTGCAGAGCTTTACGTTTTAGCATTTCTGTAGTAACATAAATCTTACAAATGTTACGTGTGAAGGGACACATTTTTTTTTTCCTTTGCTTTTAAAAAAAAAAAAAAAAAAATGGATATTTAATCTTTTATAATCTAGAATAATAATAATAAAAAAGTTGTGCTCAAAAAAGCCATCCTTCCTGCCTCTTTCTCTAAACCTGCAGTATTTTCTTCTTTTTTTTACGTAGTAATGCAGCTGTACGTAATGCACAACACGAATTATGGGAGTTGTAGTTCAACTGTTAATGTTTTGCAGTTGAAATACAAGCAAACTACAATGTTGAGGAACCTCCACTTTGCCCATAAAACATTGCTGTGTGGGAGATGTATGTGGTAAGCTCAGCCATTGCTATAGAAAAGTTAAAAGAGCATTGTGATTGGCTGAGCAACTTTTTGACCTGAACAGAGCTCACCGCATAGGCTGTAAATCTTGAGAAGATGTTAATTTTTATTATTATTTATTTAGGTGTATGTTTATTGTATCTCTCAACTCCAACCTGGATTGGCCTCCTTTTAGCAGAAAATTAAGTTCTAAAAACCTATTTATCATTTTATAAATTAATTCCATAATTAGGTAAAATAGATTCAGTTATTGAATACTAATGCTGGGTTTGTGTCCAATGCTTCTCTGAAAAAGTAAGCCGAGAGCTACCACATTGTGGGTTATATTTAAAATGTGTTCTGTCCCATTTCATATATCAACCTCTTATGTGCACAAGACATTTTTGTTATGTAGAAAAGGGTTACTCCATCCTTTAAATTTTTTTCCTATTTTCTATAGTGCTCCCAAAATAATCCATCTCTCTGCCACTTATATTCCTTTTTCTCTGTTTTTGTTTTCCCTATTTTACCATTTGATTTGCTAATTAAAGACACACTATAGGCACCCATCTCATTGAAGTGGTCTGAGTGCAGTGTCCCAATTCCCTTAACCCTTTCAGAGAAAATGCATTGTTTCCAGACAGCCACTAGAGACACTACCTGTCTTTTCACACTGTTTAACTCTGTGAAACTACGCTGGACGTCCTCACACTTTGCATGACTGCGTCCAGCATCTTCAAATCCCCCCCTTAGGAAAGCATTGCGTAAAGGCCTAATGTGCGTTGAAAGAGGAAAGTTGTGTATGGGTCACAGACAACATCCCAATCTGATGGTAGTGGAAACATTTGTCCGAAAGAAAATGAATCATTTCATTTATTTTTCTCAATAAATTGAAAGCAATACATTTGTTAATCAGAAAAAAAAAGTAAAATGGAAAAGACATGATATTATAATGGGAAAGTGTCAAAAAAAAAAAACCACATTGAAAAGTGATCGTGCCATGTGTTATACATATCTTGAGGTTATTGATGCTGATCTCGTATTCCATTTCTTGCAGGCTTATCTCCTTCTAGAGCAAGATATCCTGGAGTTGGCATCAAATGATGACTACAGGTAAAGAAACCGCAAATGTTCCACCTAGACCACTTCATCTCAATTGGGTGTCATGTCCCTGTTTGTTTAACTCTGCAATGTAAAACATTGCCATTCTGAAGGAACAATCTTTATATTGCAGAGTTTAAAAAAAAAAAAGTTACCTGTGCACTACCTCAAATCCCTACAGACATTTAAAGTCTTTAGTATGACTTCAATGGCCATGTCCATGTACGCTCACCTGCCACATCAAGGACTGAGGTGAGTCCTACACTTACAATTCACATTGCTGCTTCGAGCTAAAAGGCAATATCTCTTTGCATTTCTGTTTTTTATTTTTTTTTATTTTCTTCCATTAAGATTTAAGCCCTTAAAGGGACATTGTAGGCATTGAAGTGGTCTGGGTGCAGTGTTCAAATCCCCTTAAAGGTCCACTATAGTGCCAGGAAAACATACTCGTTTTCCTGGCACTATAGTGCCCTGAGGGTGCCCCCTCACAGTGAGAAGCACGCAAGCGTCAATGAGACAGCCACTGGAGGCTGGATTAACCCTATTATAAACATAGCAGTTTCTCTGAAACAGCTATGTTTATAGAAAAAAGGGTTAACCCTAGCTGGACCTGGCACCCAGACCACTTCATTAAGCTGAAGTGGTATGGGTGCCTATAGTGGTCTTTTAAGCCTGCAATGGTAATTATTGCCGGTTGTCTGGTTGTCTACCAGATAGACACTACAGGGATTTCCGGGTGGTGAGGCTATGCATGAGGACATCCAGCGTCGCCCAAAACCCCATGGGAAAGCATATTACAATGCTTTAGTATGGGGGAAGTCCTAATGCAAGCGCTGTGCTTCCATGCATGTACATAAGTGTCCATTTAAATGTCTGGGTTTCTAGTGCGGGCAGGGATTTTATCCTGCTCACACCAAAATGTTAGGACGTTCCTTGCTGTCCTAACTATGTCAAAGCCCACTTTGTAAAGGAAGGCATGGTACTTCCTAACATCCAGGGATACGTAATAAACCATTCTAGTTTACAAACATTGGCAGTGCAAGATTAGTCCTCACTGATTCTCACAATCTTCTACCTGTTAGACGCTTAAAGGGTCAGCATTTACACCAAAACTACTACATCTTAATTTTGTGGTTTTGGTGTATAGAGGCTTTTTATTGGACAATGTACAACATTCTGAAACATTTGGCTAAAAACAAAATATTTGATTAATACTGTAGCCTGTATACATATTACCCAAGTTCTTTGTTTACCTCACATTGTGTTTTTCTACTCTTTTACCTTTAAAAAAAAAAAAAAAAGAGTGCTGGATTCATTGCAAACTTACAATAATTTGACATGCCAATTCAATGCTGACTCCATAGTGTATAATGTGTCCTCTGTGTTTCTAACGTGCACTTCAAAAATAAAGAATTATAAAAAATTTTTACAAAAACAACATTTTAATAGCTTTCACACAGTCTCCCTCCTTATATCCTTTGATTTTCAAATTACATTTTGTGTCACACACATCACGATGATGCTGAGCACTGTTAATGCTTTGGATTGCATTGGATTGATGGATTGTGGCAATTGCTGTGCATTCACAGTGTCCTCAATGTGTCTTTGTCTGATTGGATGATAACCTCACAAGAAAAGGATGAGGTTGCATTGAGGGGGGCATTAATCTGATCATAAAAGGAACATATACATTTTTATTTATTTTGGCGTTTCTTTGACCTTTCTGTTTCTTCCATTCCCTTTATTTACTGACATGCTACACACCCCCTACAATCTAGGTAACCTGTGTCTCTTCTTTAGGGAATCTCTGGAACTGAAATTGGATGAGCTTAAGCCATTTACTGTACCCCTGTGGATGACTGACAAGATGAAGAAGACTATGGAGATGCAGCTTGTAGACCAACCATAGCTGGCAGCAATTTTATGATTTTTCCCTGTAAAATATTGTCAACAAGAGAACATCAAACATAGTATAAAAAGAACACTCCAGGCACCATAACCACTACAGCTCACCGCAGGGCTTAGCTCAGGAGAGCATTGGTAGTGGAGGCAGGGAGACCCCGGGGGGAGAGGGAGGGATACAGGCAGCTATAGTGAATCTGGCGCTTGGAGTGTTTCTTTAAAAAAAAAAAAAAAAAGTAGAGAAAACACATTTTGTTACACAGAAGCCAAATGAAATTGTACTGTCAGTGTACGTCTCTACCTATAACCTTCCTAGCTCCTCAGCGAGGCACCGTATGACTAGGGAAGAAGAATATGCACTTAACCATCTGATTATCTGACAAATGTACATTGTGGCACAATTTGCACAAATAAAATGTGATTTTAGAGATGTTTGTGTTTTGTTTTGCTTTGTTTTGTCCAGGGAAAGAAATAGCCTTCCTTATTAAAAATAAGCCAGGGCATCATATGCTCATAGGCAGAGCTCAAACTTTCTATTTTTCCAATGGCGAGTGAAGATTTAGCCCTGGCAAGTAGAAATTTACTCCTGATGCAGTGGCTGGTAGATTTTATGACCTGGCTCGTAGCACAGGACTAGAGATTTTAATCCCGGCTCTAGTGTATCAGTCAAAATAATAAACTATATTGTCCTTCCTCAACCACAAACAAGATTCCATTTGGCAGCAAACTGGCATGACTTTGGTATGTGCTCTGTTTGTTGCCTTGCACATTCACTGGAAGGGCTGAGGAAACGGTTTTGATTTGGCAAAACGCATCCTGAGGGCATGTCTGGCGATCTGACCGTTTATTTCTCTCCTGACTGCCGTACATATTACAGGTAACGCAATCAACCTTAAATCACATTACATCTGCAGACTGGGAACCTTCCTCTACTTATTACTGTAACAGGTAGCCACTATCTTGGTGATTTATGGTTGGAGAGAAACACTGTCACACTTGCTTTGAGAGGAGGGGTGGCATATGGTTACAATGTAAGTGGCTCATACGAACTGCCTTTTTCATACCCGAGTCTAAGCCTGCAGATAAAGTGGAGAATAGATCCTTACGGTTGTAAAAGCTTAAACTATTAGTATTGTTACTATATTGATGACGCGACTTAGAATACCCATTGCTAGTGCTTCTACTGTACAGGATTCTACTTTTCTAACTGTGCAGTCTCTTGCTTTATTTATTTTATTTATTTATTTATTTATTTTACATTCTTTATTTTATTGTGCAATGAACAACAAGCAGGCTTGTGATGCCACAACAGCATTGACAAGTGTTACATACGCATACATGTACATACACTGTCTTGGTATAGGAAGAAAAAATTCACTATTTTTGGGAAGATAAACAGGCTAGTTAACATGTCTATACATTATACTTGACAATCATCTGGTTATATAGACAGACATGGTATTATCACATTATTGAAGACCACTGGGTATCTATGTTGTCTCACAAAAATGCATCATACGGCAATTGTACAGCGCTACTGAATTTGCTGGCGCTATATACATAATAAAATAATATATGCCTAGTCAAAATAATAACTGACCAAGATGGATAGGTACAGTAACATAAAATAACTCAACGAGATCAAGCTTATAGAAGCTTGCAAGGTTACAGAAATTAAGATGGCAACAGCTACACTTAAAGGGAAACTCCAGTGCCAGGAAAACAATCCGTTTTCCTGGATCTGCAGGTTCCCTCTTCCTCTCACCCCCAATCCCCGGTTGCTGAAGGGGTGAAAACCCCCTTCAGTAACTTACCAGAGGCAGCGACGATGTCCCACGTCGCTGCTGCTTCCGCCGCCACTGCTCCTCCCTGTGATTGCGTCGGCCGGTGGGCGACACTGATCCCGCCCACCGGCTGGGGAGACCTAATGCCCATGCACATTAGAGCTCCCCATAGGAAAGCATTGAAAATGCTTTTCAATACTTTCCTATGGGGAAATGAGTGACGCTGGAGGTCTTCACATAGCGTAAGGACGTCCAGTGATGCTCTAGCACAGGTTTCCTGTGCTAAGATCCAGGAAGTGCCCTCTAGTGGCTGTCTACTAGTGAAGTTAACCCTGCAATGTAATTATTGAAGTTTATAAAAAAAACTGCAATAATTACACTTGCAGGGTTAAGAGTGGTGGGAGTTGGCACCCAGACCACTCCAATGGGCGGCAGAAGTGATCTGGGTGCGTGGAGTGTCCCTTTAAGTATTACTCAAAGTACAAGCTCTGATAGTGCCTCGGGTGATACGCCAACTTTCAGCCTATACCTGAATCTGGGATACTCCAACCTTTTATGTGGAGGGTGAGGAGGGCAGGTAGACCAGAGGTGCCGTATAAGGCTTCCCTCCCACCCTGGGATGACTCAAAGGCCTGTTTCCTCATGCCATGGACCTGGGGCCTGATAAAGTCCAAGTCCTTTCCCATAAAGGTGAGACAGAAGGCCCGGGTGGGACATTGCCGCTATTGACATTTGGCCTTCTGTCCATCTGGACGAAGCTTTGTGGTCTTGCCCCTGTCGACCTTCAGCCTAGGTGGGCAGATGTGATATGGAAATTGTGCTTGCGTGGATTGAGTGCCTGTAGAGGACCCACTCACCATCCAGCGTTGACACTCCTGATCTCCCTTCAGCAACACTGTGAAAACTGGGACATTGGAAAACCACAGAGGTGAAGGCTGCCACGGCAATGCTCTGAAAACTGGGACATGGGACAACCACAGAGGTGAAGGCTGCCACGGCAATGCTCTGAAAACTGGGACTTGGGACAACCACAGAGGTGAAGGCTGAGAGACTCCTGCCCGACTTCATGCTGTATAACACTCCAAAAAGTGGGGCGCAAGATTTGATCTCCCTTACCGGGTCTATGTCAATGAAAGGGGCATGGGCCACTCGCCTGGCCCCCTACAAGTGTATGGGTTGTACCTCATGATGGCGACCATAGGTGGCACACCTAGCACTGTCTTACACTATGTTTCAGCAGTAAGAGTAATCCATTTTCTTATTATGCTCTCTACACTCAGCTATATGACTGCCCATGATACAAATGAGCTACAATTTAATTTAACATTTTATACTTTGGATGCGGATACATAGTTTAGCTACAGTTTACCAGTTAATGTGATTTATATACTGTTTATTTTAGTATCAGTCTTTTTTTTTCTGTGTTCCTCATTAATTTTTTTTATAACCAATTTATTGGAATGGCTAGAAATACTAAAAAGGGGGAACTTTCTCAGTGATTTGGCAACGTTGTATTTAGTTTATGGACTTTTGTAGATATAACAGTCTTTAGAGAAATCTTAGTCCCCATGTAGCAATATGGATACACATTGTAGCTACACCATCACAGCTGGTAAACAATGACCTGTTGTTTTTTTTTCTTCCAATCCCCCCACTTTTAGTTTTTGATTTGCTTACTCCTGCTAATGATAAGTGAGGGAAAGGTAGACATCCTCTGTACGTGTTTGATCGACTGTCAAGCTGGTTATTAGAGCCACTGGGTTTACCCATCTCTTTGTATGGGTTTGTTTTCTCACTGTAGGTTATTATAAGTCTGAATAAACATTGTGATAAGAAATACTGTTTGTGTTCTATATTTTCTTAGGAGGCAATTCCCCATTTAAGGGACGCAGTCTGCATTTTTTAAATATCTTTTTTAATACAATAATATTGATGGAATTACCTTTTTTTAAACCTTTATTATAACCATTTTAGGCGATATTCACTTTCTTTGCTTTATACTTTACTAACTGGCTGCTGTAACAATTCAAGGACACTGTCCGTACTTTCTGTTTTTCCAGCAAACTAATTCTTGGCTACACAGCAGATAATTGAGCATTCTAACAAAGTTAAATAATGCCATTTAGGGAATGATGGGTTGGATTCATGGCCTGGAAGACATAGTGCTTTGAAAATGTGTTTAACTCTCGAGTGGTACAAAGTTACAACACGTCCATAGACATGTATTATGTTGCTACGTATTCAAATTTTTGGCAATCTCTTTGAACCTACCACCTGCAGAGATCTCTAAATTGAAGTCCATGGCATTGTAGTCTATCATATACGAGGGTCTTCACCACTGAATAATTTTCTAACAATTCTTATTATTTTTACTGGCATTTATATAGTGTCAACATATTCTGCAGCACGTCACAGTTGTATTTATTTATTTATTTTACATTTTATTTCGATTTTTATTTTTTTTTTAAAGTAGATTTTACAGAATTTTTATTATTTTACAGTTTCTGCTACGGCGATACTAGACCTCCTAATCGGGGGATCAAAACATATCTCAAATATCATTACATATTTGGCCAGAAATAAAAACACAATTTTAATGTTGAGATTTAACAAAACTAAAAATGAAAAAAAAAAAAAAAATGATTACACGTGTTAACAGGGAGAATATACTACAGAGGGTAATATATCCAGAAAGCACAATTAATCTTATAATATAAAATGGTCTTATTGTAGCCAGGCCTTTAGAAGGCAATAATAGCCTATGCTCACTTTGCCTATTCCAATAGGCTTTCATGCATCAGTTTATGGAACTCTCTGCTGCCCTCTAGAGGTGGTTTGACTAATTACGTCACAACAACACCACCACCCGGCGAGCGTGCGGTACGACCATGAAACGTCACATCCGGTCGGTCTCTGATAACCGGGGAAATGGCCACCTCGGACCGCTTCCAGTATCTGCAGGCACTGGTTACCGAATTCCAGGACACGGATAGTGCAGGTATTATGTGAATCAGGGGGTGGCAACAATGGGTAGAACTACAACTCCCATGAGTAAGGCTGGCAAAGCATCACGGGAGATGTAGTTTTTTGTAGCTATCCCTAGGTATCAGCTGTAGTACAGCCAGGGATGTTTGTGATGTTTCCTCTCTAATTCCTCCATATATTGTTTAAACACACTATCCAGAGGTTCCTTTGATATGGTGCCCCACCTCCCCCCCCCCCGTAATTATTTTACCTATATTAAGGGTGGCTTTTATAATTACCACTCATGCTTTACCATTTACCAGGCTTTTCCTGCACATTTGCACCAAACCTGAGCTACATGCTTGTACAGCGCTATGGAATCTGATGGCTCTATATAAATAATAATAATAATGTAAATGTCAATCAGAATTTCTCACTATACTAATGTACATTATATTGTATTTCTGATGTACTTGTACTCCTTGTATAGTGATCTGACAGATCTAGAGCAAAGCCAGGGTGGAACAAAACAACTACAATTGTGTAACACAGTCAACATTAAATAATGAGTGAATATCGCACTCATAAAAGTCTAGGATATGTAAACCTTGGATGGTTCCTAGAAGTCACCATGATGTCATCCTCTGCCACAATGGAACCCCTAATTACTTATTTTTAGCAAGAGTCCCTTAATGAAACCTGTATAGAGAACCGTGCATGATACTGAAATTATAAAAATAATAAATTTATTTTACGTAACTTTAACAAAGCAAAAAAAGGTGTAAATAAACTTATCTCAAATATCCTCTTTAGTTGCCTTTGCCCTATGCGTTTCGTCACATAGCTGTGGCTTCCTCAAGGTCCCAAATAATATTACAATAATACTTTGTTTTTCTGTACTGAATTATAAACGGTTTGTGCCTTTAGTACCCCATACTTTACATTTTTGTTTTCTAATCCATTTTTTTTTTTTTTATCATCGCAGAGGCAAAAGAACAGGTTCTTGCAAACCTTGCCAACTTCGCATACGATCCACGTAACTTCTCAGACCTTAGGAAGCTGCAGGTAATAGATCTGTTCCTGGACATGCTAACTGAGGAGAATGAAACATTTGTGGAATTTGGAATCGGTGAGTGATTACATAGATTGTAAGGAATGCTTAAAATGGCTGGCCAGTAAATATGTACAATTTTTAAAATAGTTGGGTTGATAAGGTAACAAGGAAAGCGTAAGGACAAATGTCATCAAAATTTCACTTTTTTTTTTAAACGTTTTTTACATAGTTACATAGCTGAAAAGAGACTTGCGTCTAGGGATCGACCAATATTGTTTTTTTTAGAGCCGATACCGATAATCTGTGACCTTTCAGGCCGATAACTTGACGATATTCTGTACATTTACCAATTTGAAAAAATAACCGATTTCTAAAGGTAGATGCACAAAATATACATGCCAGTGGATGCAGTGTGTTTAGACAGGGAAGGTGTGTGTGTGTGTGTGTGTAGTGGATGCAGTGTGTGTTTGTGTAGTGTGTGTATATATTGGATGCAGTGTGTGTTTGTGTAGTGTGTATATAATGGATGCAGTGTGTGTTTGTGTAGTGTGTATATAATGGATGCAGTGAGTGTGTAGTGTGTATAGTGACTGCAGTGAGTGTTTGTGTAGTGTGTGTATATATATATAGTGAATGGAAAGTGTGTGGATAGTGGATGCAGTGTGCGTAAAGTGAATGCAGTGTGTTTGTGTAGTCTGTGTATATAATGAATGCAAAGTGTGTGTTTGTATAGTGTGTTTGTGTAGTGCAGTGTGTGTGTGTGTGTGTGTGTGTGTGTAAATAATGTAGTTTGTGTATATAATGCAGTGTTTGTGTAGTGTGTGTATACAATGCAGAGTGTGTGTTTTTGTGTAGTGTGTGTATATAATGCAGTATTTGTGTAGTGTGTATATAATGCAGTGTGTGTATATAATGCAGTGTGTGTATATAATGCAGAGTGTGTGTATTTGTGTAGTTTGTGTGTATATAATGAATGCAGTGTGTTTTTGTATAGTGTGTGTGTTTGTGAAGGGATGTAATTTGTGTAAAATGGGCAGGAGGAGAGGCTTATGTATTCTTGACCCCAAAGAGCATAACTTTGCATTTCTCTACGTTAAATAGAGATGAATTGAATCAATATATCTCTATGAGGAAAGTTCAGTGTCTCCATGCACATTGTGCAGCACTACCCCAGGAAGCACCTCTAGTAGCCATCTGAGGAGTGGCCGGTGGAGGTATCCCTAGGTTGTAATGTAAACACTGCATTTTCTCTGAAAAGACAGTGTTTACTGCAAAAAGCCTGAAGGGAATGATTATACTCACCAGAACAAATACAATAAGCTGTAGTTGTTTTGGTTACTATAGTGTCGCCTTAAAGCAGATCTGTCACCGTCTGGGGTCATTGCATTATTTGCAAATACCTTTAACAGGGACATTGTTGTGCAGGGGTCAGGTAAAGGTGAGATTTACTTACCTATTCTTTACAAGAGCCACTGTCCCCTTCCTGCTGCTCGTTTTCAGTTCCTGGCACTTCAGCTGCAAGAAGTCTGTGTCAGAAAGGTATTCTTGCACATATGCAAGAGTACAGCATTTAGGTCTATGGAGGAGACCGCAGGGATCCTCTGTTGTGACGGCTGGGGGAAGTGAAAAGCTTGACCTAGTTTCAAGCTTTGTAAGGCGTAGGAGGAATACTTAGACAAAGTAAGTCCATACTTTATCTCAGTATATCTTTTGACTGGGTTGGGATTTCAGTGAATTCCCAAGTCTGGCTGATGGCAAAGAGAAGTTAAGTTGCAAAACAATTGGTCTTTTGTTGCTGGACTTCTCACTGTGATTTCAGATGGAAATCACCAATTGTAAACCAAAGATTGGTTAAGGAATTTTCTCCCGAAATAACCACAACTATGGTATGCAAGAGGTAATATCTCAACTGGAGCAGCATTTCAGAGATTCACCCAGTTACTGCCCTGAAGTCAAATGAAGTTAGGACATTATGTGGACAATATTGACACTTACAGATAACTGGTGCATATCCTGGATTTTTCCTACCCACGGGTGACTGGAAACAGGATTTGATTGGCTAGGTCTATCTTCTTTGTGTAGCAGTGTGGCTATATACACTCATCAGCCACAATATTAAAACCACTGCCTGGTGAAGTTAATAATATTGATTACATCGTTACAATGGCACCCGTCAATAGGTGGGATGTATTAGGAATTTCATGTGTTGGAAGCAGGAAAAATGGACAAGTGAAAAGAACTGAGTGATTTTGACAAGGGCCAGATAGTGATGTATATGGTGCTAGGTCAGAGCATCTCCAAAATTACAAGTTTTGTGGGGTATTCTAGGTATGCAGTGGTTAGTGCAAGGCAGGACAACCGGTGGACCATCGTAAGGGTCGTGGGCACTTAAGGCTGTGTTGATGCACATGAGGAGCTAAGGCCAATCACATAGAATAGCTACTGTAGCTCAAATTGCTGAATAACTGAATGCTGACCATTATGGAAAGGTGTCAGAACACACATTGCATCTCAGTTTGCTGCGCATGGGGCTGCGTAGCCACAGACTGACCAGAATGCCTTTGATGGCCCCTTCCACCACTGAATGTGCCTTCACTGAGAACGTGAGTGTCAGAACTGGACCATGCAGCAATGGAAGAAGGTTAGCTTGGTCTGATAAATCACGTTTTCTTTTAGATCAGGTGGATGGCTTGCTGTTTGTGCGTCATTTACCTGGGGAAAAGATAGCAGCAGCATGCACTGTGGGAAGAAGGCAGGCCAGTGGACTCAGTGGTATGCTCTGGGCAATGTTCTGCTGGGAAACCTGGGTCATTGCATTCACATGGATGTTACTTTGACATGTACCACCTACGTAGAGTTTGTTGCAGGCCACATACACCCCTTCATGGCAGTAGTGTTCCCTGGTGCTTTGGCCTTCAAATTCCCCAGATCTCAATCCGGCTGAGTATCTGTGGGATGTGCTGGAACAGCAAATCTAATCCATGGAGGCTCCATCTCTCAATCTGCAGGACTTTTAAAGGATCTGCTGTTAATGTGCTGGTGCCAGATACCACAGAACACATTCAGAGATCTTGTGGAGTCCGTGCCTTGACACATCATACCTGTGTTGACAGCACAGGGGGGGACCTACACAATATTAGGCAGGTGGTTTTAATGTGGCTGATCAGTTTGGATATGTTGTGTAGGAAGCAGTTAAATAAGACAGACAACATCAAGATAACTGGGACACCACCATTCTTTGTCTGCACACATGTAGCCACTAGAATTGTATAGAGATTAATTAACTTGCCTGCTGCTGCTGCTGCATTTGCATTCTTTTTTTTTTTTTTTGGGATCCTAGACTGGCTAGAAACAGAAAAAAGAAATATGCGACAGGCATACAGTCAAAAATTAGACATCAAAAGCACATCATCATACAAGAGACAATTATATAATATGTATCTTGTAATATCCATCCACAACTTATCTTTTCAATAACTGGAAACCCTCATTCAGGGAACAGGAAAAAGAAGTCCCTTTAGGGAGTGAAAGAGAATAAACAAAAAAAAAAATTAAGTTAAAAGAGAGAAAAGTATAGGTGACCAGAAAGGACAAAGGTGATAAGGAAGATAGGGAAGGGAGGAGAGGGGGTGTTCCCATCCCACAGTAGATATAACTTCCTTGAAAAACTGTGCCATTAGGAGCTAATCAGAGTTATCACAAGACAGCTCCAGAGGTTGCCAAACTTATCAATAATTGCAACACTGTTCAACCTGTGCCGTGAGCTTGTCCATCGAAAAATTTGTCCTTTTTATATTCAGTATGATTTTACCATTATCTGAATATCGTCACTCATTCACACCAGAGCCAATGCCCTTCTTGATGCCAAATTAATTTTATTATTAAACAACCTTAATTTGTTCAGCATGAGGCCTTCCATATATATCTGTATACCAGGAGGACCCTGAGGAAGTCCATTCGGACGAAACACGTAGGACCTGGTACCATAACAACTTATTTGTATACTTATACTTTTAATTCTTTTAAATAAAGAAGAACCCTTTTTTTTACTCCACATCCTGAGTGGTATTTCACCTTCCTTGGAGCAGGAGCAGTGTTTACGCCCCCCATCTACATCAGGGGAAGGCACCCTTGGGCGCTAATCATTCATTATATTCTACACAGCGCACTTATACTTTTCTTTTCTACAGTGTTGCACTATTGTTTTATTTTTTGTGTAGATCCACAGCTGTATGCTCATTCTGTATATATCTATTCTGTATTGGAGGGATTATTGCTGGGATGTCCATGGAGGAGGCTGATATCACTGTCTATTTAGATAAGTGTTGTATATCCACTTTTTTTGTTTCAATGGCAAAAGGTGTTTGTTCTTTTGTACTATATACAAGTATTTGGATCAATTTTTGTATAACATTAAGTAAATAGTTTGGTTAGGTCAGCTGTCAGGGTTATACCAAGATACTTAATAGAGTTCTATGTTACTTTTACATTTTAGGTGGAACCAACCAATCCCACGCTAGTAGTAGATGTATTGTGATGCCCTGCAGCTGCATTTTGACACAGAGCAGATCACAGCAGTGGGCGAGTTAGGTTGAGCAGCAGTTGGACAGATGACAGTAGAATCTGACCCAACATGGATGCTCAGCCAGATTAACAAAGTAACATTTTCTAAATAAGTAATCTATATACATAATAATAAAAAAGTTTCCTTAAATGTAATAAACTTTTAAAAATGCAAAAATTTGATGACAGTTCTTTAATTTTACAATTATGGGGTTCTCCCCGCTCCCTTTGCTTTCCTTCTTACCTGGAAGCCTTGCATTTGGTGTGATGTAGATGCAGACTCGTGCTTTATTTAGCTCAGATCAACATCACTCACTTACTCACTCTTTAATAAGCCGGGATATGATGTCAATACAAGGAAAGCTGAATGGAGCACGGCTCTATATAACTGCTCTTGATACTACCAGCAGGGTGTCTGTTGTTGCTGGTCTCTTGTCTGCTGAAGGCCACATGGGGTATACAGCAATTGGTGAACTTAAATTAACAGGCAACTTTGACTAGGCTCTAGATAAGGCTGCAATTATGAAGTACCTGACCTTTATGTGACTTTCTCTCTTCCTTTCCAGGTGGTCTTTGTAATCTGTGCTTGGACAAAGCAAACAAGAGTCACATTCTGTCTTCGGGTGGTTTACGCCTCGTCATAAATTGCTTGTCCAGCAAGCGAGAAGAGACGGCTTTATCTGCTTTAACTACACTCATGTACCTGAGCACCACTGCCTCTCGTGCGGACATTACCAGCCCCCCGGTCGTAGAATGCATGGTCCGATTCTCGCTCTCGGGTAATCGCAGGATACGGAACCTGGCCACCGTGTTTCTAGAGGATTACTGTAGTGAAAAGCAAGTGCAGGAGGCAAGAGCCCAGAGCCAGCATACACATTCTGCACTTGGCATCCCTCTCCCTGATACCAGTCCACATAATTCAGGCGAAACACCAGAGCTGAAGTTAAATTGAACAACATGGGTGCTTGATTCCCAAGGAAAACGTGATCACTAAAGCTCCATTTATGTAGGAGCAACTCGAGACGTGAACAAGTTTAAACCTATATGTGAAACTTTCCATTTATGTTTGGGCTCTAGCAGCTTTCCCAGAGGGTAAGGGATCCTTGTTGAATATAGATGTTGTAAAAGTCTAGTCAGGTTTAGGATGGCATGTGGTTCTATTGATTTAGTTTTCCCACGGTTTATGCAGAAGGACCAACTCTTCTGCAATCTGTGAGATATGGAACTATAAAAGGGACTGCCTATGATGGGAGCTTTCTACAGTTCTTTGTGATCAACATGGAGAGACATGCCAATTGTAAGATATATAAACACAACCTATATCACTGTTTGGTGGAATCTTGTCAAGGAATGACTACACATTATAGCTTTGGACATTTCTTGTGATATACTGGATTAGAATGTTTGTTCTGGTTAGCAGTTTTTTTTGGTTTTTTTATTGCACCTTTTTGTAGATACACTTGTTAATGTCAGTGTTTTGTCCGTGTAACGCAAATATAGAAAATAGTGGTAGGAATCTGAACATTATTGGGATCCAGTGTTTTCAGAACATGTGTTTATTTCCAGATAACCCTATATTTGCATTATTGCTGTTCTATCATGTCAAAGAGATTACTTAGCAGCACTGTCACGCTGAACTTACTTTTATTGTTTTCTTTAAAAGATAAAGTAGGGACTACTTTGTCATATGTATTTTTCTTACGCCTGACATTCTGACACAAGGAGGATCTTAAGTCCGCTCCATTTCCTGTGTAAAGGAGGGTGAGTATGGGAAAACTTTGATACAGTAAATGGAGCTCACTTAAGCATCTCATTGGGTCATATAGAGAGAAGTGTACCATACCTACATCCCCCACCCCACCCATAAGGTAAAGTAACTTCACACGACAAGGTTGCTCGACCCGAGATAGCCACCGACGGGCACCTTTACGACTACTTTGTAAAGTGATCTACCTGAACTAATTCACAAAGTACTTATGCTACCAACTTCTTGTTTATAGTTTTAAGCTATAATTTTATTAGCTCCTGACGACGGCGTGTATTCACGCTGAAAAGCGTGTTGAGCGCTTTTTTATTTTTATTTACTTTTCACTAGGTAGCACTTGGTTATTTAGCAAGTTTGGTTGAAGGTAGTTTACTAGTTTACATAGGTGGCATTAGTCAGGCAGTTTTAGTCCTGCGGTCATTTAGTTTAGTAGGACTTCTATCTGTTTATTAGACGAGTGGGAACTTTGAAATTTTTTCTTTTGGGTTATCAGCTTGCATTAGTCTATTCAGTTTGGGTTCTTACAGATTTAGGAGCCTTCTATATTGAGAGGAGCATTTTGAGCCCTCTACCTCTCTCCTTTTTCTTTTTTTTTTTACTTACTGCTATGTACTTTGGGGAAGGGTTATTCCTCCCCTATAGTTAGCAAGCTTTCAGTGGTTCTAAGGTGTAGATAGGGTTTCTTTTGTCTACTCCTCCTACCTTTACCATTGTATTACCCACTTATGCGTGTTTCCACCTTTTCCACTATTATCTGGTAACTACATATGTGTTTTTTCTGTGTGTTCAGAGCTACTACCAGGATCCCCTTGCCTCAAGGGTCTCCTTTACTTTATTTATAATTTGTTTGTATATTGCTGGGAAAACAGTGCAGTGTCCAGTGTATTTACAGAAACCCTCCAGACGGGGGGTGGGGTGGAGACGGTATGGCCACCTTGTGCATATCCCTGAATGCCCGGGGACTAAATACCCCGGAAAAGCGCTCCTTTGGGTTTGTTAGAACTAGCCAGGCTTAAAACCGATGCGGCCTTCCTCCATGAAACCCACTTCAGAAAGAATGCGGCACCTAGCCTACATAACCATAAATATCCTACAGGGTTCTTCGGGAATTAAACAGAAGCAAAAGTGCGAGGGGTGGCCATACTGTTCGCGGCGCAGCTGCCGTTCACACTGATGGATCACAAAACAGATGACAGGGTAAAATAGGCTGTAATGTATTTACTTTTGTCAACATGTATTTCCCCAACAGACATCAATGTAGACATCTTAATAAATGCTTAATCTTAATTGAAAATTTCATGGAGGGAGTGCTGGTGATGGGAGGGGACTGTAATGTAACTCTAGACACGACCACCTCAGCGACAGCACACTTTAACCCCACATAGCGCCTTCTAGACCAATCCCAACTCCTAGAATGCTGGATCATTATCAGCTCACAAGGGAGGGACTACTCCTTCTACTGCCCAGCAACCCACACCTACTCCAGATTAGCCATGTTTTTTCTCCCCCATAGATTCCAGCATCTCATGAAGTCATGCACATACGGCCCCATCACCTGGTCTGACCACGCACCACTGTCTCTAGTTATCCAAATATCCTCACTGCCAATAAAAACCTTCCATTGGAAACTCAATGATCTACTGCTCAATGATACAGAAGCAATGCAAAAGCTACAATCTGACATCCAACATTACTTCCAGGACAACAACGACCCTTCGACAGTCCCACAGACCTTAAGGCAGTCCCTTGACGCACCTCTCACAGAAGAAGAATTTCAGAAAACGGTACATGCGATACCCCTAAATAAAAGCCCAGGTCTGGATGCATACACGGCCAAATACTATAAAACCTTCACCGACATATTGACTGGCCCCTTCCTTAAAGCATTCAACTCGCTCAGGGGCAGCTCTAGAAGCACACATTACCATACTCCCAAAACAAGGTAAAGATTCTACAGCATGCGGCAGTTACTGCTCGATATCCCTTATCAATGTGGATTTAAAAATATTTACAAAAATCTTGGCCACTTGACTGCACCCCATACTAAAAGACTTGATTCACCCAGATAAATCGAGCTTTGTTCCGGAAAGAGAAGCAAAACAATACAAAATTACTCAGTCTTCTTCACATATCTAAAACGTACCCTACTCAGAGCCTTCTCCTGTCGGTCGATGCCAAAAGGCTTTCGACCGTTTGGACTGGACCTTTCTAAAACTTACTATGAGGTCCCTGGGCTTCGGGCCAAACTGGTCTAACTGGCTGGATGCCATTTATGCCAACCCAACAGCCAGGCTTAAAATTAATGGCCAATTACCAACGGCCCCCCTGCCACCCATACTCTTCATTCTCACGATGGAACCCTTTCTACAAGGGATCAGGGAGAATGGAGACATCAAGGGATTTCACATCAAACAACAAGAATTTAAAATAGCAGCCTTTGCAGATGATGATCTCTTCACACTGACATCCCTGAAACCTCTTATGAACGAAATTGGCCAATACCACCAGGTATCCAACTTTCAGGTCAACTTCTCTAAAAGTGAAATACTACCGTTACAATTAAACACTCACTCCCGGGGACCCTGAAGGGGCTTTTCCCATTCGCGCGGGCAGCCTTCCACATCAGTTACTTAGGGGTGCGCCTAACTAAAGACACATAACTCTTGAACCTGAACTACACCCCGCTACTCCAAACAATCACTAAGGACCTGACAGCATGGCACAAACTGCAATTTAGCTGGCTAGGGAGGATTAACATCTTAAAAAGGGCCATCCTCCCCAAGCTTCTATACCTCTTCCAATCCCTTTCCATCCACGTACCCAAATCCTTTTTCACCAGACTCAAGCAGATTTTCACCAAATTTGTTTGGGCAAATAGACACCCGAGCGTCTCATATGAAAGCTCGCAGAGGACTCGGCATGCCTAACATGTACCAATATTACAAAGCAATTACACTCTCAAATACAATGGGTGCTGTTAGAAGACTATTTCTTTCGAGCCCCGCTTCATACAATCCCATGGCACTTCTCGGGGTCAACCTTTCTAGGGGATAGCCACACTTCCCACCCCACAATTGCACCCACTTTGCGAGTGTGGAAGCAAATAAGGGACTCGGCAGGCCTTTCGGTCTACCCCTATATCCTTTAACCAAAAACCCAGTTTCCCCTGGGACTACAAAACCAGACCTATGACTTCATCAACAGCCCTCCCCCACGTAGCAAGGCCTTAAATTAATAGTTTTCCTGGAGGGAGCCCATGTCAAGCCCCTAGCCACGCTGACATCCTCGGACTCTCCCTCCGCCCTACAATCCTACCACTTCCACCAACTCTCACACTTCATCCGCACCACCGACAAGCCGCCCTCTCACATTTGAAACATATTGCGAAACACATATGCTAAAACGCAAACAACTCTCCATGATGTACAAACTACTAAAAGACGACAAACGTACACTACCAAACTTCACACAACACTGGCAACAGGAACTCAATACAGCCCTCACTGACATTGAATGGAAGACCATATTCCAAGCCACTCACAAGTTGTCAATCAGCACGAATATACAGGAGAGTAAGTACAAAAGAATCTCTAGGTGGCACTACGACCAAACTACACAACATATTTCCCAACATGGTTGACAACTGCTGGAGATGCCACCAACCTAATGCTACCACAACCCACATATGGTGGCAGTGCCCAGACATCCAAGCATTCTGGAACAGAGTAGTAGACATGATTAAAGGACCACTTCAGCTTAATGAAGTGGTCTGGGTGCCAGGTCCACCTAGGATTAACCCTTTCTGCTGTAAACATAGCAGTTTCAGAGAAACTGCTATGTTTACTTTAGGGTTAATCCAGCCTCTAGTGGCTGTCTCGACAGCCGCTAGAGGCGCTTCCGCGCGTCTCACTGTGATTTTCACAGTGAGAAGACGCCAGCATCCATAGGAAAGCATTGAGAAAATAAAAGGAGGAGAGTTTCCAGCACCAAGGGAGCCCCGTGCTGGAGAAAGGTAGGTTTTTAACCCCTTCCTCGCCAGCCAGGCAGGAGTGGGGGCACTATTTTGGTCCTTTAAAGTAGTGTCAGGAGTAAGCTGACCACTCACACCGACTTGCTATTCCTGGTATGTCCTACCTGCCTCCCCAGACCCTTAATCCTCCACCTACTAACAGCAGCAAATCTATGGATACCGGCTAAATGGAAACCCCCCCCCTCCTCCCTCCTCCACCAGGGAGTGAATCCATCAGGCTGATGGACAAGATTCATGCATCCCTCTCTCACAAGTACAACCTCTACTTACACACTTGGAGACCATGGATGCATTTCCTGAGCAACTCCTCAGGGCCCCCATAGGAACAAACGCAGGGCTCAGCATTCCCACACTCCAAAGCACACACATACGGTTGTCCTGACCTAGCGTATACCACAAGGTCCGCCAATGCACAACACAAAGCCACCACGTGTCAGATTGGCGGGGGGGGGGGAGGGAGAATGGAAGGATGCCTTCCCTCAAGCAGATACCATACCAAGACAGCACTGCTTTGATGGCTATCATTCTGTGAACACTCAGTATACTGTGGATATACATACAGGTCACTCCCCTTGAGAAGCCCTACCTAACCATGGGTCATCGCTGAGAATCCCAGAAGGTTTCCTCATGTTTCCCCATTCTCCCCTCCCCTAGCAGGGTATTGTTTATTGTTAACACCCGAAACCAATAAGGAGTATGCCAACTTCTAAGCAACAATGTTTTGTTAACTCTTGCTATCCTGTATTCCGTAGAAACCACTGAAAGACAATGTAACCATTTGTCAGTTTGATACAGATTGTAAGAACATTGTTATTTCAACAGCTATGTGCAAAACAATGTAAATGCTCATTGTGTTGTCATTCATTCAACTATGCATATCTGAAAATGAATTGAAAAAAATAAAGACGTGTAGGAAAAACATACGACAAAGTAGTCCCCCCTTTGTCTTAACCCCTTAAGGACTGAGCCAAATGTACACGTTGTGAACAAAACAAAACGTAAACAAAACCTGGCATTTGCGCTACATGTCTGTCCAACCGTAATTCACCTCTTTCATATTAAATGCACCCACATTATATATCATTTTATTCAGGGGAAACAGGGCTTTCATTTAATATCAAATATCTAGCTATGAAACATTGTTTAATATGAAAATGGGAGAAAATAAGAAACATTTTTTTTGTCAATGTCATAATACTGTTTGGTTTTACTGCAATAAAATACACATTTGTATTCTGCAAAGTCTCACGTGTAAAACAGTACCTCCTATGTACAGGTTTTATGGCGTTTTGGGAAGTTACAGGGTCAAATATAGCATGTTACATTTGAAATAGAAATTCGCCAGATTGGGTACGCTGCCTTTGAGACGGTATAGTAGCCCAGGAATTAAATTGACCCCCCCTAATGGCATACCATTTGCAATAGTAGACAACCCAAGGTATTGCAAATGGGGTATGTCCAGTCTTTTTTTAGTAGCCATTTGGTCACAAACACTGGCCAAAGTTAGCGTTAGTATTTGTTTCTGTGTTGAAAATGCAAAAAACGCCAATTTTGGCCAGTGTTTGTGACTAAGTGGCTACTAAAAAAGACTGGACATACCCCGATTGCAATACCTTGGGTTGTCTTCTTTTGCAAATGGAATGCCACCATAGGGGTAATTTTCAGTTATAGGGTTAAATATAGTGCTAGCAAATTAAATTCCCTATATTTTAGGCATGGGTTGTCAGGCTGGTCCCGCTAATTGTAATTAATTAAGATACCTAATTATGTAAAAATATTACTTATATATGTAGAATTATGTATATATACATATAATTTTTTTAAAATATTTTTATTTATATATAAGTATAGTGATATATATTTCGTTCAATGTGTAATTTGATATAAATATATATTATCACAATACAGTTAGAACAAAATAACACATCTATATATTTTAATTATTTTTTAAATTTTAACGTATTTACATATTTATTTTTTATATTATATATAAATATATTTAACAATAATTATATATATTTAATCAGTCTACGTGTAATTTGATATATATATATATATATATTAATAGTAAAACACACCTAGACAGTGTATTTATATATTTAGATTATATATATATATATATATACACACACATACACACACACACTGTGTGTGTGTGTGTGTATATATATATATATATATATATATATATATATATATATACACACACATGTATGATCTAAGTATATAATTTTATTTTTTATTTTTTTTTTAACACTGATTTTAATTTGATTTTGATTTCCAGCCAGCAGGGGGACTAACTGTCATTACAGGCAGTCCCCCTGCTGGCAATCCAGCAGCCAGCTAACCTGGCCATGTGATTGTGAGGTCCTCGCAAGGACCTCACTCACATGGCCGGAGGAGGCCGGATCCGCCGCGGGGGACTCCCTGGGATCCCAGGTGAGTCTCCCCAACCGCGATCGCCAGCGACCGGGTAAGTAAAAAAAAAAAACAAAAAAAAACTGAGGGCGTACTATTACGCCCTGCGGCGTTTAGAGCCGCTTAGAATAGGGCATAATAGTACGCCCTCCGGTTGTAAGAGGTTAAAGGGAAACTCCAGTGCAAGGAAAACAATCCGTTTTCCTGGCACTGCAGGTCCCCTCTCCCTCCCACCACCCATCCCCCGGTAGCTGAAGGGGTGAAAACCCCTTCAGGTCACTTACCTGAGACCCTGCCGATGTCCCTCGGCGGTGGTTACTGCTCGCCGCTGCTCCTCCCACACGCCGGCTGCGGAAACCTAACGTGTGGCAATGACGCGCATGCGAGCTCTCCATAGGAAAGCATTGAAAATGCTTTTCAATGCTTTCCTATGGGGAATTGAGCGACGCTGGAGGTCCTCACACAGCGTGTGGACGTCCAGCGATGCTCTTTCTTGTGCTAGGGAGACAGAAGTGCCCTCTAGTGGCTGTCTACCAGACAGCCACTAGATGTGGAGTTAACCCTGCAAGGTAATTATTGCAGTTTGTAAAAAAACTGCAATAATTACACTTGCAGGGTTAAGAGTAGGGGGAGTTGGCATTCAGACTACTCCAATGAGCAGAAATTGTCTGGGTGCCTACAGTGTCCCTTTAAGTTTTAAAGAAAACTAGATCAGAAATGAAGAAAAAGATTCTGAAAGATGAAACAATAGGAGCATGGTTCAGTGTGACAGTGCAGCTTTAAAATCTTGTTTGCTGATAAACATTTTAGAGATTATTTAAGACCCATGAATTGCTAAGGATTGATATTTTGTCCCAGCATGTGCTTTGTATTGATGTACTGAACCTCCCAAGAGACTTCCACTCATCTCATACTTATCACTTTCACACTTAAAGGGACACGTCTCCTAAAGCATGCTTTTGTTGTGTGTATGAAATTAAAATAGCTTGCATAAACTGCAGAGAATAGTTATCTTCAGCCTCTGCAATCCCTCCATTTGTCCCTGCCACAGACTCAAGTACTCTAATCAGAGGCCTCTCAATGAGTTTTAGTACATCTTCTTTAGAAGGGGGTAGGGCAGGGCCTCAGTTAACTTTGTGAAGCTAGCAGAAGAAAACCATTCTGGCTGGGTGTCTGAAATTGTCACTTTTATAAACAGTCTCAAATATAAGAGACTCCAGACACAAAGTATCTGAAGTGCTCTGTGTTTAGAGCATGACTTGTTTTGAGTTAATCTTTCCCTGAAAATAAGACCAGGTCTAAGGTTTTTGTACTAAAAAGCAGGTTTATTTTTGCGGGGAATTCCCCTGAACACCGACCAGTTCACTAGGGCACAAAATCCCCCAAAAATAAAAATCTATGTTTGGGGAAACTTTCCTTCAACATTGATAATCTTACTTGTGTATGGAATCCCATGAATATGTCCGGGAAAAATTGCCCAAACAGATTAGCAAACTAGCAACCAGGTCTTATATTATGCACATCCCCCCAAATAAGAGAGCTTCTATTCAGGGGATGTCTTTTTTGGGGAAACCCTACTTTTATAAACTTCCCTTATTAACAGCATGGTTTCTGGCCTCACTTGCTTTGGAAGGAGTTATTCTCAAAAGAATTGGATACAACTTATAAGTAAATACACCACCACAGGAGGAGGCAGAAAGCTACAGTAAGGAGAATCTACCAAATGCTGAACAAAAGTGAGTATTTTAACCCATTTAGTGCCACAAATCAGATTATAGTAATTTATAGTTTAAAGGACAACTATAGTGCCCCCACCCTCAGGGTCCCCGTCCCGCCGGGCTCTGGGGAGAAAGGGTTAAAATCTTACCTTTCTCCAGCGCCGGGCAGGGAGCTCTCCTCCTTCATAGCGATGTCATCGGCTGAATGCGCGGCAGGAGCCGCACGCATACATACAATGCTTTCCTATGGATGCTGGCGTCTTCTCACCGACTTACAGTGAGAAGCACAAAAGCGCCTCTAGTGGCTGTCAATGAGACAGCCACTAGAGGCTGGATTAACCAGATTATAAACATAGTTTCTTTGAAACTGCTATGTTTATAAAAAAGGGTTAATCCTAGATGGACCTGACACCCAGACCACCTCATTAAGCTGAAGTGGTCTGGGTGCCTAGAGTGATCCTTTAAAAAACATTCCAGTTTTAGACTGTTATTTTCCCTGTTTAAATCTGTCTAGTTTGCAATTAGCCAGAAAAAGGGGTGTTACACTGCAGAAAGTCACATCGCTATAAAAGGTTTAAATGCAGCAGATACACTGAAGCAGTTTGTGGATAATAGTCATCACAAGATACAAGTACTATATTTGTTACATTGTAGCTCAGTCTGAGTCCTCTGTTCCTTTTGCATTCATACACATGCTTACTTTGTATCCGTTGTACAGCGCTGTGGAAGAGGTCTGTGCTATATAAATACCTAGTAATTAGAATGTTTTAGAGAGCCGATTACTAAAAATTGTAATGTTAATTTTCTATTTGATTGTTTCAGCCTATAATCTACTGTATTAAGTATTGTTTATTAATACCCAAGCCTTGCCAGCTGTAATTATGGTCAAGGAGTGCCCTGACACCTCCATTGTAAGTAGTCACACCATTTTTAACAGAATTTGAACTTAAGTTTTAAATAAAATTTAATGGGAAATTCATTTTATGATCTCAACATCCAAACTCTAGCAAACTAAAGTGAGTTTTATTGGTCAGATGTACTCTGATGGCTTTGATTATACAACACTACTAGCAATTTAAAATTGAAATCAAAGGAGTTTTAAAAGAGGCAGAGCTGGTAAAATCCAATAGACATGCTTAGCTCTGAAGGTCAGGGAGCGGAGCCTGGCAGACACCAACAGTCAAACAGTACTAAAATGCTTTGACTACTCAAGTGTCAGAGCATCCCTGGCACCATAACCACTACATCATGTTGTAGTGGTTATAGTGCTTGCAAGTGCAACTTAAATGTTCTGTACTTTCTATAGTATAAGCTTTGTGTTTTTTATGGCCAGATTTCAGCTTTAGAGGCTCAGACAGTGTCAGTTTGGAAATATTCCTTAGTTGTTTTACAGAGCATTAGTTGGACATATAGATCAGACCCAGCATACATTGAAACATTCTTTATTATGTGTGAGCATTGATAAAAAAACAAAAAAAAAACACTATCCGAAAATTCATTCCATGCGCCTTCCAGTAGAGTCAGGGGACACGAGTATTTAAAAATGGCAAGACAAAGTGCTTCAAATAAGAAAATACATAAACAGATGAAAGTGGGGAAAAAAAGATTAAAGTCCAAAATTGATTGTTTATCCAAGAATCAGGCTGGACTTTCCACCAGGGGGATTTCTTCTGCTTGGAATGGTTACAGAAGCTGCAGACTCTGCAGATACTCCACTGGACTTGGGTTCCTCATTTCCATCAATGATTTCTGTTAAAGAAGAGATAGCGTTAGTTTGGTGCCATCTAACAATTTATTCTGTATTTGCAAAGTTTTATACAACAATGTAAGTACTCACCAGGTGCTTCCTGTTCAACCTGTATGGAGAAGAAGACATTCATTAAATCCTGTATTGGACATGCAATTAATTATGCACAACAACAAGCACTACTGTTTTATGGTTTTTTTAAAGCTACACCTCACATTACAAAGATTGTGAAGATAGGGTGATACAGACTTTAACACCTGTACCTAGAATCATTACTAATTATCCAATATCCATTCTCCTGGTCCACTGACTGCCAAGTTTCCTTTTTACCCATAAAAAAAAAAAAATCACTATTCCAGATAAATGTGGTCCCCAACTTGTGGAACTCAATACTCAATTCACACTTATTCAGGATCAAACCTACACCAAATGGTGCCCAAGGCAGACAATGAGCTGGCTAACATTCAGATTAGATCTGGGGCCACCATTGGGGTGTACAGCCAATACAGTGTGTACATATTGCAATATATTTCAACAGTTAATAGCACAATATGTGCGCCAGCAGGCTCACAGGCCACTGCCAGTCTGTAGAATGAAGAGAGATACTGGCTTTCATTAGTCAATTCTCTCATTTAGAAATTAAAATAAAACTTTTCTATGCAGCCCCAGCCACACCTGCCTGCATGTGACTTACACATGACGTAAGCATTTCCTGTAAAGAGATCTAATATTTAAACTTCCTTTATTGCCCAGTTGTCTAATTACTTTTTTGTTTGTTTTAAAGGACCACTCTAGGCACCCAGACCACTTCAGCTTAATGAAGTGGTCTGGGTGCCAGGTCCTTCTAGGGTTAACCCATTTTTTCATAATTATAGCAGTTTCAGAGAAACTGCTATAATTATGAATGGGTTAAGCCTTCCCCCTAATCCTCTAGTGGCTGTCTCATTGACAGCCACTAGAGGCGCTTGCGTGCTTCTCACTGTGAAAATTACAGTGAGAGCACGCCAGCGTCCATAGGAAAGCATTGTAAATGCTTTCCTATGAGACCGGCTGAATGCGCGCGCAGCTCTTGCCGCGCGTGCGCATTCAGCCGGCGGGGCGTAACGGAGGCAGAGAGCTCTCCGCCCAGCGCTGGAAAAAGGTAAGTTTTTACCCCTTTCCCCCTTCCAGAGCTGGGCGGGAGGGGGTCCCTGAGGGTGGGGGCACCCTCAGGGCACTATAGTGCCAGGAAAATTAGTATGTTTTCCTGGCACTATAGTGGTCCTTTAAGCACTACAAGTTTACAGGTGGTTATGGTGCAAGGACCTATTCTGTGCTAGAAATACCAGTCAATGTTTGCTTTGTTGTAGCCCTAACCTTTGGTTACCACCTAGCTTAAAGCAACAAGGCCCAGGCTCACTATACCAACTTTTCCACTATAAGCACAACTTGACCTGACTGCCAGAAGAGAGGCGAGTCACAGATTGCATCTATGCAAATAGCTGCATATAGTCCATTTCAATAAACAGTAGCTGTGCTATATGTAAACTGCCAGCAGGTGTTAAATGTTCCACTCATCCAAAATGTGTGGAACTGCTGTCTGGGTTTAAATCTACTTATCCTAAAAAAAAAAAAAATGGTGTCAGTTTATTCCCATTAAGAGACATTTGTGGCCAGGAAGGTAACAAGTCTATAAATAGCTATATTTGATGGAAAAATAATACAAACCACATCAGCGCTGTCGCACTCCACAGAAGGGCACGTCCACTCTGTATTCGTGTCTTCAGAGTCCCCTTGCGCTGCTGCAATAGCAGGTGCACCTAGGGTTAGAATTAGATCTTTTGAGCCACTAGGAATATTTGTGTCTGTTAGAAATTTTAGCGGCAGACTAGTGGTGTTAATACTTGTGACAGTGTTTATGAAACATGTACCCAATTTCCAAGCTCTCATGAAGAAAAAAAAAAAGTCAGGTTTCAGCATAATCTTAGTTTATATATTTTGAACCCTGCTTTAGAGTTTTCTGGGCTTCATATTTACCCAATTTCCATTGGAGATGGAGTATTAAAGAGAATATATATTAAAGAGAATATAGAAAACTACATTGCCCTCCTCTTGTGGCAATGTCCCTCGGCACCGAGGGACCTGCATCAGGACCATGGGTGCCCAAGGCTCATTGATGCATGTGAGAAGTGAAGGCTAGTTCCTCCACCGCCAGCCGGCAAGATTTAATGTGCATGCGCAGCAATGGCTGCTCTCACATTAGGATCTCCTCACAGGAAAGTATCAATGCTTTCCTATGGGGTTTCCGGTGATGCTGGATGTCCTCATGCAGAGTGCAAGGACATTTAGATGACCAAAAGTCATCTAAGCACCCGGACATCCCTCTAGTAGCTGTCTGATAGACAGCCACTAGAGGAGGAGATTACTCTGCAAGGTAATCTCAGTTTCTCAGAAATTAATAATTACCACTGAAGGGACATGGGACATTGCACCCAGACCACTTCAATGAGCTGAAGTGGTCTGAGTGCCTACCGTGTCCCTTTAAGCTTTGATAAATGAACCACCAGTCTGAAAGTAGCAGCATATTTGTAATAGTGGCTAATATTTGGGTACATTAGACAGCTTTTAGAACAGGTTAATGTTGCACCATATGCTTAAAGGGACACTATAATTACCAGAACTATAGCTTAAATGTAGTTCTGCTGTTTATAGCATGTCCCTGCAGGCATTTTCATATAAACACCGCCTTTCCAGAGAAAAGACGTTTACATTGCTGCTTCGTGACACCTCCAGTGGCAGCCACTAGAGGTGCTTCCTCGGGCAGCAGCACTAACGTTCAGCAACTGCGTGCTCTGTATGGAGGTGCTGAACATTCCCCCATAGAGTTGCAATGATTCACTGCATCTCTATGAGCAGATTCTGATCGGAGAAGTGTGGCGTTTTGCTGCGCATTCGCCTCCCAATGCTTTCCTATAAGAAGCAATGCGGTTTAATACAGAGTGGGGCACTGGCAGTTTAATGAGATCCAGCAAAAGAAAGCAGAGATAAATATAAAACCAAATAGCAAGTGGGGTGGTCATTAATACAGAAGGGGCACAGGAAAGCTGGATAAAAGTCTAAGCCACTTTAAGGACTACCGTTAAATTGCTAGAGAAACTATTGTCCCCTAAACCACTATTAACATAATTTTCCGCCTTTGATTCTACATCCTTGACATAGGTAAAGACTACAAATACACCGATCAGTCAATATTAAAACCAGCGACAGGTGAAGTGAACAACATTGATTAAATGATTACAATGGCACCTGTCAAGGGCTGGAATATGAAAGGAGAAAAAAATGGGCAAGCAAAAAGATCTGAGTGACTTTGACAAGGGACAAATAGTGATTGCTAGACAAGTGGATCACAGCATCTCCAAAATGGCAGGTCTTGTAGGAGTGGTTATGCAGTGGTTAGTGCCTACAAAAAGTGCTGCAAGAAAGGACAACTGATAGACCAGCATCAGGATCATGGGTACCCAAGGCTCATTGATGCATGCGAGGAGTGAAGGCTAGCCAGTCTTTTCCAAATCACACCGATTAGCTACAGTAGCTCAAATTGCTGAAAATTTTGATTGGTCAGAGTGCCCATGATAACCACTGTCCACTACCAAAAGTAGCTTCAGTGGGGCCTTGAACATCAGAACTGGATTATGGAGCAAAGGAAGGTTGCCTGGTCTGATGAATAACGTTTTCCTTTAGATCAGGTGGATGGCTGCATGTTTGTGCATAGTTTACTTTGGGAAGAGATGGCAGCAGAATGCACTGTGGGAAGAAGACAGGCTGGCAGTGTTATGCTCTGCGCAATGTGATGCTGGGAAACCATAGGTCCTGGCATTCATGTGGATGTTCCCTTTGAAAAGTACCACTTAACAAGAGAATGTTGCACACCACATACACAAAGAGTTCATTGTATTTCCTTGGCCTTTAAATTCCCCAGATCTCAATCTGACTGAGCATCTGTGGGATGTGCGGGAACAAATCCGATCCACGGATGCCCCACCCTACAATATGCAGAATCAGCTGCTTATGTCCTGGTGCCATATTCCACAGGACATGTTCAGAGTAGGGATCGACCGATTATCGGTTTTACCGATATAATCGGCCGATATTCGGTATTTTCGGCAATATCGGTATCGGCCAATTCAGATACCGATATTGCCGATAATACCTCCTAGGACCGCCAGGCTCATTACAAGCCCGGCGGTCCTGGGGGGGCGGAGAGCAAGCGCTTACTCACCTCCCAGCAGCTCCTCCAGCTCCCCAGTGCAACTCTCGCGAGACCCGCGGCCGTCAGAGCGCTGCCATGGATCACCATGGCAACGCTCCGCGCGACACGCTGGCCGCGAGAGTTGCACTGGGGAGCTGGAGGAGCTGCTGGGAGGTGAGTAAGCGCTTGCTCTCCGCCCCCCCAAAGCTCAGCCAATACCACTGGACCACCAGGGACTGTCATATCCCCCCTCCCTGGCCAGGTAACAAGCAGGGAGGGGGGACAAAAAATAATAATTAAATATATATATAAAAAAATAATTTAATAAAAAATTCCCCCTCACACACTCCATTATATACACAGACACTACACAAACACACTGTGTATATAATGCAGTGTGTGTTTGTATAGTGTGTGTTTGTATACAATGCACACAAATACACTGCATTATATACACACACTATACAAACACACACAAACTGCATTATATACACACACTATACAAACACACACAAACTGCATTATATACACACACTATACAAACACACACAAACTGCATTATATACACACACACAAACTGCATTATATACACACACTATACAAACACACACAAACTGCATTATATACACACACTATACAAACACACTGTGTATATAATGCAGTGTGTTTGTGTAGTGTGTGTATATAATGCAGTGTATTTGTGTAGTGTGTGTATATAATGCAGTGTATTTGTGTAGTGTGTGTATATAATGCAGTGTATTTGTGTAGTGTGTTTATATAATTCAGTGTGTGTTTGTGCAGTGTGTGTTTGTGCAGTGTGTGTTTGTGCAGTGTGTGTTTGTGCAGTGTGTGTTTGTGCAGGGTGTGTTTGTGCAGTGTGTGTTTGTGCAGTGTGTGTTTGTGCAGTGTGTGTTTGTGCAGTGTGTGTTTGTGCAGTGTGTGTTTGTGCAGTGTGTGTTTGTGCAGTGTGTGTTTGTGCAGTGTGTGTTTGTGCAGTGTGTGTTTGTGCAGTGTGTGTATATAATGCAGTGTGTGTGTTTGTGTAGTGTTATATAATGCAAGTGTTTATATAATGCAGTGTTTGTGTGTGTAGTGTGTGTATATAATGCAGTGTGTTTGCATAGTGTGTGTATATAATGCAGTGTATTGTGCAGTAGTGTGTTTATATAATGCACACTACACAAACACACTGCATTATATACACACACTATACAAACACACACTACATTCACTATACACACACTACACAAATACACACACACTCTGCATTCATTATATACACACACACTTTGCATTTAGTATATACAGCATTCACTTTACGCACACTACCCACACACTACACAAACACTCTGCTTTCATTATATACACACTACATTAATACACACTGCATCCACTACACACACTAAACAAATACACACTGCATCCACTACACAAACACACATGCATCCACTACACAAACACACATTGCATCCTCCACACACACTACACAAACACACACTGCATCCACAACCCACACACTACACAAACACACACTGCATCCACTACACACACACTACACAAAGACACACACTGCATCCACTACACACACACACACACACACACTGCATCCACTACACACACACTACACAAAGTCACACTGCATCCACTACACGTGGCATGTATATTTTGTGCATTTACCTTTAGAAATAGTTTTTATTTTCCAAAATGGTAAATGTACAGAATATCGGCAAATTATATCGGCTATCGGCCTGAAAGTTCACAGAATATCGGTATCGGTATCGGCTCTAAAAAATCAATATCGGTCGATCCCTAGTTCAGAGGTCTTGTGGAGGCCATGCCTCGATGCATCAGCAGTTTTGGCAGTACAAGGGGGATCTACACAGTATTAGGCAGGTGGTTTTATTGTTGTGGCTGATCAGTGTATGGAGTTCACAGGTAGATATACAAGATGTATAAAATTCAGATGCATGTATGACCTACATTAAGAAAATTAATATTGTAGCTCTCTCCTAGAAAATGTTTTCCTTCACTATGGAGGACAATAGTGTATCACCTGTTTTACCTGCACAGGTTTGTTCCATTAACAACTAGGTCCCAATTACCATACAATGCATTGACACTTACCGGTTTCCTGGACACAAGGTTCAGACAGGCTGTTATAGTCTGCTATTCCAAATATGTTGGAAGCCATCTTATGTCGTCTAGTAGGTTGAGATGGCTGGTCACCAACACCAAACGTGAAGCTTGACCCTCCGCCTGGAGGCCTAAGGATCCTGCGGGAACAAACAAGTATAAGTCAGATACATTAAACAATTATTTTCAATGAATATCCTTGCTTGCTCTTTGCCAATTGGGAGTAGCCATCTTTTGCCCTCTTTGGTAAGACTAAACACAATTTGAAGGTTTGGAACTATTGCAGAGTGCATTTATAAATACTCTTTAGACTCCCATGTATTCACTAAAATAGAGGCCATATTAAATGCAATCTGGCTTAAGTAAAATAACAGATTTTCTTGAGAGGCGAGCAGTTTGCCAGCATTGCATTTCAAGGCAATTGGCAATAAAGACTGGAGCCTGTAGTCATAGAAAGCCATCTCCTGGGTCTCCAATCCAGCATCTGTAGATTAAACTAAAAATCAATTTGGCCCCTATAGACCGCTTTCTTCTGTATTTGTATGCAATTAAATTGAGAGCTGAAAAGCCAATGAATTGTTTTCACAGACATGTTGAACTGATGTCACTAATGTGGAAGAAGGGACTTTAGAGATATCTGAACAGAGTAGACCAGACAGCTGGAAAGGGTCAAACTATATAAGAACCTGGGCTATTTAATATGAGGCCATTTCATCTCATATTTCTGCCAATTTGTGAATTTTATACCCCTACATGGTAATTCACTATAATGAGAATTCAAGATTCTGGGGGAAGTTATGCTTTCCATTTAGCTACTCTTGTCTTACATTTGAAATGCTTTGAATTCTCAATTTAGTAAATAACTGCTAATTCAAAAACCAGAAGGTAATAGTGTTGGGAATAGTTTTGTATTCCTAGCAATATAGTTTTCCTTTAAAGGTATAGTCACTCAGCCACTGGAGGAGCTTCCTGCATCCAAATGGATCTTTGGTCTGGTATCTTACGCTGCACATCCTCACACTCTGCATGAGGATTTACAGCGTCAGATTCCCCCTCCCCCTATAGGGAAGCACTGATTCAATGCTTTTCTATGGGTGGGTCTAATGCACACTCAGCATTTGCCGCACATGCGTATTAGCGCATGCTCGTCACTGGACAGATGACGAGGTGGATACACAACCCAGCGCCAAGGGATATCGGCGCTGGGATAAGACAAGTAAATAAATGTTTTTAACCCTTTATTTACTGCGATGGGATGCCAGAGAGAGGTGAGGCACAGTGAGCTAAAGTGCCAGGAATACAGCTTTGTATTCCTGTCACCTATAGTATCCCTTTAAGTTAATTCCAGGCACTTAAACCGTAGAAACCCTGAACAAATACAGAATCAGCAAGTGAAGCACAGGTTAAATCCAGCAATAACTAATGCATTATAGTTCTAGTTAATATGTCTAATACGTACACCGTGAGCCTGATTGAGCAGAATGATCACTGGCTGCTCTGCAATTAACATGAGAGCAGAGTTTCCTTTGTTAAACACACATCTAAAATACTGCTGAGACAGTAACTAACCTCACCCAACAGCATCCAGGCTTAAAGGGACACTAAGCACTATCATTACATCTCATTAAATTGGTTAGTGCCCAGAGTCTCCTGGCATTGTCCCTTGTTTTAAATCCTTTTCAAGCAGTTTAACACTAAATGAGAGATTACACACTTCCTTTTAGCCATACCAATTAATACTACCAATGGGCACTGTGATAGGCTGAATGCTGTCTGCAGACACTCAGGCTAATGCTTCCATATTAGCCAAGCATCAGAGTATCAATGGGCTGTTTGGGACTCATTTAGCATAAAAACGTTTAATGCTGAAAAGGACATCACCGGGGGATTCCAGACACTATATCCACTTTTGTTATAGTGCCTACAGTGTCCCTTTAATTGTCAAACCCAGAGAGGAAAGCAAGAAGCCCATCGCCCTTTTGGGTGGCACAGTGGGCAAAGGAGCACTTCTCAGTAGCAGCACCATGGGTCAAAGCAGAAGCCCCATTCTCAATGGCAACAGCGCATTAGCCACTTAATGGCAAAGCGCAGGAGACCCTCTCCCGCTTAAGGGTGGCATCCAGTGGGTTAAGGAGGCCCTCTCAACGGCAGCTCTCCCCCTTAAAGCCAGTGCCTAGGGCTAAAGCAAGAGGCTCTACCTCCCCTACTTTGTATGAAGAGCTGTAAGCCCCTAAGCAGAAGCTTTCATCAGCTTTGACCTGCAATGCAGGGCTAGCTCATTGAGCACCAGTAAAGAGCAAGGCAGGGAGCAATACACAAACTCCAACTGTGCTTAAACAGTTTGACTTCTTACATTGGGTGGATGCAAACACGCTGCTGGCACTATAACAACCAGTGCGTGCTGTAATAGTGATGGTGCTTGGAGTGTTCCTTTAATAGAAGTGCTCTTAGAGCAAAGCAAGAGGCTCTCTTTAATGGTAGACCAAAGCAGGTTCTCCTCTTCCCCTTAATGTTGGCATGAAGCAGTTGCAACATTAATCAAGTGCCATGGAGCAGAGCATTGCCCCTTTATGATGGCACCCACAGGGCAGATCGGGAGCCTCTCCCCTTTAACCCCTTAAGGACCAAACTTCTGGAATAAAAGGGAATCATGACTTGTCACACATGTCATGTGTCCTTAAGGGGTTAAAGTAACACTCCCTTAAAGGCAGCTTGCAAGAGTGCAAGGAGGACAGAATAAGATGCCCACCACTCATCTTGACAGATGTGCCCAGAGCAGGAGCCTCCTCTGAACAGGAGACTCCTTGACAACAGCACCAAGGAGTATCCAGAGCAGGAGATCACCCGATGGCAGCAAATAAGCATCCTGCATCACCTGGAACAAAAAACACAAAGGGAGGGAGCCGCCCTGTACATAAAAGGGAAAGCCTGTCACAGTGAGCTGTAAACTCTGGCTTGAAGAGAACAATAACCTCCAGCTGTCAAGGTACTACAACTCCCATGAGGGTGTTCTAGTGAGAGGAGTGGAGGGGTCTGCTTTAATGGCCATCCCTGTATTTAAGTACCAGCAGGACAAGTCCATCACATCCCCCAACCTCAGTCAGTCTCCACATAATACACATACTACACAGACAAGGCGTGTAACATTGTTCTTCCACATTAGTATTATTGGCATGATACACGCCTATTACATATCAGTGAACGTGGGAGTGCACCGCCCTGGATAAATCCTGGAGTAGGATAAAGATTTGTTATATATTGTCCAGCAGTGGGGGGTGGTGTCCATTGGAAATACTTCCCATTTCTATTCCATGTTCGTAGTTGTTTTTGGCATGATACACACAATCACTGCCTCAGCATACCACAAACACACAATCACAGCCTCATCATACAACACACACAAAGCATACCACAAACACACAATTACAGCCCCGGCACACTGAACCCCCCACCCCGGCACACTGAACCCCCCCCACTGGGCACACTGAACCCCCCCCACACTGAACCCCCACCCGCCTGGCACACTGGCCACCGCCTGGCCTGGCACGCGGACCCCGCCTGGCACCCGCCTGGCACCCCCGCTGGCACACAGCCCCCCAGCCTGGCACACTGAGCCCCAGCCTGGCACTGACCCCAGCCTGGCACACTGACCCCCAGCCTGGCACACTGGCCCCCAGCCTGGCACACTGCCCCCAGCCTGGCACGGCCCCAGCCTGGCACTGGCCCCACCCCCCAGCCTGGCACACTGGCCCAGCCTGCTGACCCAGCCTGGCACACTGACCCCCCCAGCCTAGCACCCCGACACCCCCCCCGTTGCTGGCAGGGAGGAGGCTGTCACGATGCGGCCGGTGTGCCAGGTTTCCCTGCGCAGGATGGGATGGTTGCCATGCAGCATGCTGTCATTGTTCAGTGGGTGTGGTACCTCCAGCTCGCCATCACCGGGAACTACCGACCCCGGGCCGCCCATTCACCGACACCGAGTGCCCTGAATGCCCGCTCCGGTGACGGCTCTGGGTACGGAGGGGTTAACCTGCTTTGTTTCTGATCCCAGCGGTAAGTGATCCGGTACCAGCAACCCCCTCCCCCTCCCCCTCACACCGGTACCAGCACGGCACCCCCTCCCGGTACCAGCAACCCCCTACACCCTCAGTACCTGGAACTGCTGCGGCCCTCCGGGTCCAACCCGCTGAACGTTGATGTAGTCGTCATATCCACACACGGCGTCAATTTACTACTGGCACAGGCGGCGGCGAACGCTGCAATTTATACACAATGCCACGCCCCTGCGAGAAGCTGATTGGCTGCTGACAGACCGTTAGGCTCCGTTCAGTGAGACGGCTGGCAAAGGGGTCTGTACGCACAACCGTTATCCAGACAGTCCGGAGAGTTGGGAATGCCTCGAACGCCGATTGGTGCAGCCGGAAGAAAGACCGTGCCCCTTTGCGGCGTGCTATTGGCCGAGGGAGGTGTCAGTCAGCTGGGGCACGCTGTGATTGGATGGGCTGCGACTAGCCCTGATGAGATGAGGTCATAGGGATAGACCGTGATTGTGCAGAAAGGCTGAGGGAGGAAGGGATGCTGGGTGTCTGGATTAACTGGGAAAATGGTTGATTCACACGTGACGTGACAATAAAAAAAATGTAAAGCATGTGATGCATAATACATACCTCCCAAGGGACCCTGTGTAGAAGAACAGTCCTTATTTTAGGTCCATAGCCACCTGTCACTTTCTATCAGGTTATCCAAAATAATGGGTATCTGAGGGTATAGTAAAATCCTCACATACATTACAGAAATGTGTCTTTAAACCTCAATGAAGGTGTATTTTGAAGGGTCTTCATGAGGAATCGCCTCCAGTGCCACTAGCACAGTGATTTTAGACGTGCGTAAACATTGCTGTTTCTCACAAACAGCAATGTTTTACATTGAACTGAACAAGGGGCGGGGACTATGCACCAAAGCCACTACATTAAGATTATTATTATTATTATTATTTGGGGCATTTATATAGCGTCAACTTATTCCGCTTTACAATATTGTAAAAAGATGGGAAATTTAACAATAAAAGAGACAATTACAAAATGCTCAAGGGAGCTTACAGTCTAAAGCAGCGATTTCCAAATCAATCCTCAAGGCACGCCTACCAGTCCAGGATTAGGGATTACCCAGTTGTGTTTAAGGTGTGTGTAGAAAGAAAAAAAAATCACATTGACACAACTGTTGAATCCATAAATCCTGGATTGGGAGTCGTGCCTTGAGGACTGGTTTGGAAACCACTGGTCTAGAGGATAAAATGCTTTTTTGTGATTAGCAGAGAAGGATGAAGATACTTCTTGGCCCCAAGGCAGGTTAACGCCCCACCCCGCTCCTTCCGCCCATTCTGAGTAAATTCATGGTCCTGGGGCTCCTGTCTAGATCATGGACCATAGGCAGCTGCCTAATGTCAACCCCATGGTGCTTAGAGTTTCTCTTTAAATTTGCTCATATGCACCTCCTGAAGGATTCACCATTCTCTTTGCAGCCATTTACCAATCCCGATTCCTGATTCCTTGCAGTGATGGTGTAATATTGTTCAATAATTGGAGGACGCAATAGTTTAAGCAGTAAATTTATCACTCTTGGCGTAGACTGTGACACTTGGGACGGTTGGGAGACATGCATTGAATGCCAATCAATTCACATTTTAGTGAATGCCCTGGATTACTCTTTTATTATTATTGGTATTTATATAGCGCCTGCTTATTCTGCAGCGCTATTATTCTATATTGTTATGCTGCTTGTATTAAAAGCCAGAGTGTTCACATATATTGCTATTTTGGGTCACAATACACACTCCCTACACCAAAAGTGTAAAGTTGAGGAAAGGGTCTGTTTTGAGCTATGTTACGGCAATCATCAGGACCTGTAGGAAGTATTCTCATTATGATTGTTATTTCATTTGTCACTGCATGCCTTTCAGTGACAGGTGACAGCCAGTCCTCCCAGCAGCTGTTATTAAGCTATTTCAACAATCAGGGTGGGTATGTCGGTTCACTGTATCATAACATGGTTGCATCTGCTTGTTACAGCAGCTGTGTGCCCCGACAGTAACTCAATCTACGGGGGGGGGTTCATTGTATAAATATAATAATATATCCAAGCACCATGTCGTGTTTAATCCACATTTTATGTCCAAACAAATTTGCTTAGCCCGCAAGCTATATCAAATTGTCTCAATTCTGACCAATCCTAGCTTAAACCAATGACTGTGTACGTTGACATGATAATCTGTTCAAGATTCCCATGTGAAACCGTTTTAATCCACTCAATTAAAGACTGTAGGACATGATGAAGTTGTCATAGATAAATAAGCAAGACATTCCACACTCCAAGGGGGCGGCCCGCGTAGCAGGGAACTGCCATCGGGTTAATTGCTTCCTCCTCCCTCCCCCACGGCATTGCTAGGAGGAAGTGGTCAGTATCAGTGGACCCCAGGGAAGCCACTTGACCTCAAGTCTCGTTAATGGTCTTTTATTGAGAAGAAACAAAATAACGACTAGTATTTACAACTGTGTATCTGTGAGCGTATGTGTGTGTGTGTGTATTGGGATGTGTGTGTATGTGTTTGTCCCTGTTAGTGTGTGTATGAATCTGTGATGAATCTGTGAGTCTGTTTGTAAATGTATGAATTTGTGAGTGGTCAAGGAACTATCTGGATCTTTAGCATGATTTGCGACTCACTCTATTTATCAACATAAAGCTGAGATGGAAGAAGGAATGAACACCACTGTAGCCACTAAATGTTTACCAAGGGTCGCTGGGCCAAAAAAAGTCTGTTAAGGTTTTCTGGGATCAGAATGTATTAATTGGCCCCAGAAACACCCTTATAATACACGAATGCTCAGGGAAGTGCAGCCATTTTGCTACATTTGTAAATATATTGGGGCGTTAAGGCCAACTCCTTTGGCTTTGCACCCCTCCCTGTCACATGAACCTAATTCCAGGGCCCAGTTTAACTTTGCACTGCAGAGAGCCTCTGGAGCAAGGAGTTCCCAAGTAAATAGGTTAATCTCATAAGTGCAGACATGGAGCTGCTAGAGTAGGACCTGCCAAGAATGGGGTATATTGACGTTGTGGCAGGCTTATGTAATGTATGGTCAAATACTGTAACTAAACCCCCATTATTGTTTAAGTCAGGTGTTTGCTAAAAAAAAAAAAAAAAATATTCAATTTGATGCGCTTTGTGTATTAAGAAGCAAAATCTTTATTAATTTGGAAAGCATTGAAGAATCGTATGATCTTAAGACGCTAACAGCATCACTTCGTGGAACGAACGGACCACACAGTTGATGGTCCCCTGGCGTGCTTTCTTGTCGCAGCGTGCTGTGGGGTCTAACAGCTCGGCCCGAGCACAAATTGAGGGGAGTAACGGAGTTGGACTTTACCTTTTAGGTAGCACCTGGACGGCTGTGAAGCATATGAACCTGGTTGATCGATGCCCGAGCCTGGATTAACTTCACCAGGGATGGTCGCGAGCGTGGATGTTCATACGGTCGTGCAATAGGATTGGAGGTCAGGACAAAAGGGGGCGTCCGCTGTTGGGAGGGGCCTGTGATTGATGCTTGTCCGGGGCTGGAGTTGTTGTGAGCCCGATCTCGCAAGTTTATTCGCAGTGGTGCCAAATGAAAACATCAGTTAGGGAACATTCACTTACCCAAACAATGATCAGACGGTTTCTCTGTCGATGTCAATGCAGCTTGCATCGACTATTGTCTCCTAAACTTTTTCCTTTTGTTGCACTTCATTCTGTTTATCCACTGTTAGGATAACATGTTCTGTTCCCTATTACACTCTAATCCTCACGCATTGTTTGTTCTATTCAAAACAATCGTCAAACTGAAAAGGTGATCCCTGCCTGGTGCCTCACCGATAAGTTACAAATCAGTACTCTTGTTTTCCAAGTTTATGCCTCTGTGAATTCTATTGCCTGCGGCAGCCAGTTCAATCACTGCTTACTCACTATACCTGCATTTTAATTATTAACATGTGCTGTATATTTGTATGCACATACTGATATGTCGCGCCACATGCGGTTCCTCATTTGACTTTGGAAACAAAAAAATAAATAAAATATAAAACCTCAGATAAATATTGTAAAAAAATTTTTTTTAATTGAATAGCGTTGGATAGTATTTATTTTTGTACAAATGTAAATTGTAATAATAATTTAATATTCATTTAAAGTACTAGTTTATTAATTTAGTTGCTGCCATCTTTGATTTTGGGGCTCAGAGAGCGTAGGTCCAGTGTTTCTAGTATCACCCCATGGATAGTACTGTCGTCTTGTTGCGGCCTACAAGTGAAATATTATCTAACGCTCCTGTCTAACGAATGAAACTTGCTTTAGATGGGGGGGGTGGAGAGGGGGGGTCTAAAGCAATTTCTATTTGTGAGACAAATAGGGGATAACATTCCTTGGATCAGTAGTGAGAACAGATTTGTAAAAAGTGGATTTTTTTTTAAAATCCAACCCACATAATCATCTGATTGTCACCTGTCACCCCATGTAACGCATAAACACATATATAAAGATAACTTTTTAAAAAAACATGTACATTGTTATCATTAGTTTTGACTGAAGCAATGTTCTAGATAAATCTAGATATGTATTGATCTGGACTCTGCCTGTTTCTCTCAGGATATGGTATTGGCAGCGTCACAGAACAGCTGATGCTGGACTCCGTATAGTGATATTTCGATCTTAAAAAAAATAAAAAAAATAGAACATATTTATTTTAAGTCAGATTGAATGGGTGTTTGTGCATTTCTACATGCTCGTGTTTATTTATTGCCCCAGACAGCTGCCCTGACTGTACGAACTGTGTGTGTTCACCAAACATTTATCAGGGCAAAGCATCAATGATTCCAAAAAAAGTAAGCAGAACACAGGGAAAATCTATTAATACCTACAATTGACCTGTTACTCCAACATAACTATTCATTGATGCAGGATTGATCAGAGAATGACAAATATTTAGGGGCATAATAGCCAAATTGGAAAAATAACCCATTTCAACCAATTTTCTAGATTGAGTATCATAGCAAAAAAAAAAAATATATATATAGAGAGAGAGAGAGAGAGAGAGAGAGAGAGAGAGAGAGAGAGAGAGAGAGAGAGAAATTTCCTACAATTTCTGGCAATTCATAGTTTAGACCAGTGTTTTTCAACCACTGTTCCGCGGCACACTAGTGTGCCGTGAGATGTTGCCTGGTGTGCCGTGGGATGTCTGATGTTCTGATGTCCGGGCTGTGATCAGGGCCGGACTGACCCACCGGGATACCGGGAAATTTCCCGGTGGGCCGCGGCACCTGGGGGCTGCGAGGGCACATATGTGCCACCGGGTGGCCGGTCCGGTGGCACACTGAGAGGGGGCCGGCCGTGTTCCAGACTGGAGCCGTCGGGCCGGGTGGCAGCTTCGCCGGTCCGGCGGCACTCCAGTCACTGGCTGCTGATGGAGGAGGAGACTGTCTACCATGCTCCCTTGCGGTTCCACCGCGAGGGAGCATGGTAGACAGGCTCCTCCTCCATCAGCCATCAGCAGCAGTGACTGAGTGCACCGAAACCGGCTTCCACCAACAGCACTTAAATCGCCTACCTCTCTAAGATGGGGTAGGGGCAGGTGGAGATAGGGAAGAGTTAGGGAAGAGGGGGTAGATAGGGAAGGGGAGGGGAGAGACACGGGAAAGGAGGGGAGAGGGAGGACACAGGAAAGAGGGGAGGGAGGAGAGACACAGGAAAGGGGAGGGAGAGGGGGGAGGAGCACAGGGAAAGAGAGGGAGGGAGGGAGAGGGGAGGGAAAGGGAAGGGGAGGGAGAGGGAGGAACATGGGGAAAGGGGAGGGAGAGGGGGAGGGAGGAAAGGGGAGAACACAGAAGGGAAAGGGGGAGAGGAGAATGTGAGGGGGAGAGGGGGAGACTTAGGGGAAAGGGGAGGGAGAGATGGTGATAGGGAGGAACAGGGGGAGAGAGAGGGGAGAGGGAGAGATACAGGGAAAGGGGAGGGAGAGATGGGAGGAGGGAGAGATGAGGTGAGGGGGAGAGGGAGGAACACAGGAAGGGGGAGGGAGATGGGGAGAACACAGGGAAAGGGGAGGGAGAGATGGTGAGAGGGGAGAGACACAGGGAAAGGGGGGAGGGAGAGATGGTGAGGGGAATAGGGAGAGGGGAGAGACACAGGGAAATGGGGGAGGGAGAGATGGGAGAGACAGGGAAAGGGGGGAGGGAGAGAGATGGGAGAGACAGGGAAAGGAGGGAGGGAGGGAGATGGGAGAGACAGGGAAAGAAAGGAGGGAGGGAGATGGGAGAGACAGGGAAAGGAAGGAGGGAGGGAGGGAGGGAGGGAGATGGGAGAGACAGGGAAAGGAGGGAGGGAGATGGGAGAGACAGGGAAAGGAAGGAGGGAGGGACGGAGATGGGTGTTTATTTGATTCCTATTCAAGAGAATTACTTTATATATATATATTCAATATAGGCACAGAGTTAAATTTTTTGACATTTTCTAATGGTGGTGTGCCTCGTGATTTTTTTCATGAAACAAGTGTGCCTTTGCCCAAAAAAGGTTGAAAAACACTGGTTTAGACTAACAAAAACAACATTGTGCAAACAATGAGTCCGTTGTTCCTTGTTATATATTAAGAATATATTGGTTATAAAGAAAAACCAGATGACACAGAAAATGTCTCAAACTATTGAGTTTACTAGGCTGTCCAGTAAACCACAATGAAGGGTTATTTCAACCACCGTGACCACTTCTGCATTTAGAAGTGGTCATGGTGGTAGGAATCTGTACGTGCAGCATTTCTGCTTAAACCGCTGCATATACCCCTAGCACACATGACTCAGGCAGTCCAGAAATCTGTTCGAGACCAACTAATGTCAATTCTGTGCAAAAATGATGTATGTCATCAGAGCACACGGCGCGCTGGAGACAGAAATGATCAGCTTCTACCCTTGCAGTCAGTGCCTCCCTTCCTAATTTCAGCCCTCCCTGCTGTCCTCACCTTGCTGAATGTGCCTCCATTTTTGTTTTTTTAAATTCTATACCTCCCTTCCCGGCTCAGAACATGCGCATGCTCTATGAGAAGGATATGCTTAGACCTCGCGAGCGGGATGTGGAAACTAGCAAAGAGATCTTCGCCTGGCGCTGGATTCCATTTAAAGCTTTTTTTGCAGGTTTATAAGGGGGACCTACTTACTAATGCCGAGCACAGCATTGTAAATACAAAAATGCTCATTAAAAAGGGTTGCAGTAACTTCTCCAGCACCTCTTACATGACCAATTATCCCTTAAAAAATAACTTCATATTATACCCATGATTAAACAGCCAACGAGCAGTGGTTTTGTCTACAAAACAAGTGTATAAATATCTGTTAATGTGTTAAACAGAAGGAGAGCAAATGTTTTCCAAATTACTTCTTCGTGACTTTGGAATAGAAAAGATTGAGTGTTTGTTTAAGGTCAAAGGGTAGGCCTAGTATTGTCCTAGCCCATATGGAGATTAGAAATTGCTTTCAGTAACTCAATGTTGTCATTAAAGGGACACTCCAGGCACCCAGACCACTTCTGCCCATTGGAGTGGTCTGGGTGCCAACTTGCACCACCCCTAACCCTGCAAGTGTAATTATTGCAGTATTTATAAACTGCAATAATTACCTTGGAGGGTTAAGTCCTCCTCTAGTGCCTGTGTATCAGACAACCACTAGAGGGACTTCCAGGTTCTTAGAACACAAAAAGTGCTTTAAATGACGCTGGACGTCCTCACGCTATGTGAGGACCTCCAGCATTGCCGAAATCTCCATAGGAAAGCATTGAATAATGCTTTCCTATGGGGAGGTCTAATGCGCATGCGCAGCCATTGCCACTCATGTGCATTAGGTCTCCCCCGCCGGCTGACGTTGGCGGGGTAGGAGAGTAGGCAGAGCCTGACGCAGCGCCTAGGATGGGGGTGGGAGGGAGAGGTGCAACGAATATGTTTTCCTGGCACTGGCGAGTCCCTTTAAATGTGCAAATCTGCTATGAAATATACCTAGAATCAATTTTATCAATATCTTGAATCAAAGCTAAGTGATATTGGTGGCTATTTATTTTGGTCAATTAACGGAACACTCCGGGCTGGAAGTGGCCCAAGATTTTTTTTTTCCAACAAATTATATAGGTAATGTATTAATAAATTTATGTCAAACTAACTTAACTGGATTGTATAGAGATTAAAGCAGAAATGTAGAGAAAGGTGTTGCAGCGCATGTGGTCTACTTGGACTTTGCTATAGCATTTGATATGGTTCCACCACAAATGTTACTATATGAATTGAAAGCTTCTCATTGGCTGAGAATATTAGCTGAGTTATACCTGCCAATGAGCTAAGGGCTGCTGCACTGGATTGATCTCAAAACACGAGCCTCTGGCTGCACAGGAAGAGGCAAACAGTGCATCACATACCTCAGATAAGTTGCCAAACCATTCTCAGCTGACTACTTATATTAAAAAAATATTTTTTAGAAAGGAGGGTGTTTTAAAAATAAATAAATAAATGTACGTATATTTATCTTTTTATTTCTACTTTATGCATGTTTATAATGTTTTTTACTAGTGATTAATGAGATCCTTGAGGTTGATGCTGTGAGACTAAATATTTGGTATCTGGTTCGATTTTCGTAAGGAACAAACGAAGGTCTCCTCTTTCGGTGATAATCAGAAGACTTCTTTGTTTGCTCATAAAATGATTTCTCATCTGTGCATCAGCTCCCCTCCTCTCCCTCCTCAATTCCCCTCCCCACCTTTTTTCCCCTTTTTTCTATTTTTTAACCTTACTTATAGCAATGCCCAGTAGGAAGGCTGAGCTAGGTAGCCCACTTCCTATTATTAGTCAACAACAATTCTCTCCTTTTCCTTTTCTTTCCTTCTTCTTTTTTACTCTACTCCTTCTTTCTCCTATTCTAGAAGTACTCTACTCCTTCTTTCTCCTATTCTACAAGTACTCTGCACCTTCTTTCTTCTATTCTACAAGTACTCTGCTCACAGACAAACACACACACACAGACACACACTCACACATACATTTACAGACACACACACTCACAGACAAACACTCACACATACACTTACAGACACACACACACACTCACATAGAAACACATACACACAAATATACACATACTCACACATGCACTTACAGACACTCACACACACATACACAGACAGACACACAGACACACACAAACTTACAGACACACACATATACTTACAGACACAGACACACACACACACACACACAGACACACATACACTTACAGACACACACACACACACACATACACTTAATGACACACACACACACACATACACTTACAGACAAACACATATACACACAAATTATTAATATTAAATGTCCACCCAGCCTCCCTACCTGGAGAGCTGGTGTGGATCTGTCCCTGGGGTCCAGTGGGGCTTCACTTCGGCGGGTGGCTAATCAGACGCGGCGAGGGAGCTCTAACCTCTCTGCTCTGCTTCCTCGCGGACTGTCTACTGATGCCGGGAGCTGGAATATGACGTCATATTCCGGCTCCCGCGGCATCAGCAAACATCGCGCGAGGGAGCAGAGCAGAGAGGTTAGAGCTCCCTCGCCGCGTCTGATTAGAACTCTGCCATGCCTGGGGGTCCAGAAGGTGGCCTGGCAGGAAGGAGTACTTCCTCCTGCTGGTCACTGAAGACTTGCACACGCAGAGCCGCTCGCGCCCGCCCAAAAGGAGAAATCCTCTTAAAAAGAGGATTTAGCCTCCGAAATCCCTACCGCCCACCTGGAATCCTGAAACGCCCACTAGTGGGTGGTAGGGACCAGGTTGACGACCCATGCACTAAATGGTAGTGAATTAGGGATAACCACACACGAGAAGGATTTGGGAATTGTTATAGACAACAAATTAGGCAGCAATATGCAATGTCAATCTGCAGTTGCTAAGGCCAGTAAGATTTTGTCATGTATAAATAGGGGCATAAATTCTCGGGATGAAAATATAATTTTGCCTCTTTATAAATCGCTGGTAAGTGCACCTTGAATATGCTGAGCAATTTTGGGCGCCTGTTCTAAAGAAGGATATCATGGCACTGGAGAGGGTCCAGAGACGAGCTACAAAATTGATAAAAGGAATGGAGCATTTTAGTTATGAAGAAAGGTTAAAAAAATTAAATCTGTTTAGTTTGGAAAAATGGCACCTGAGAGGGGAAATGATAACTTTTTTTTGAATTCTTTATTTTTCGGTGCAAGTGTAATAATACAAACATTGTATGAATATGCCACAACAGCAATTGCATAAGATATGGCAGTAGTCTGAGCTTCCTGCAGTTGGGGCTAAGAGGGTCTGTGCACTTTTGTATTACGTAGGACTGGGTAGTCGTAACGAGTTGGTCGCCCGTACCAGTGGGGATTGTGATTGTGTTGTCTAGTGTTATTGGTAGATTTCACCAATGTTGGTATGGCACTGGTACAGGATTAACGCTGGTAAGCCTCCTGGTCCTTTGTGGTCGTGTGGTGTGTATAGAGTTGGATATTAGAATAAGGACTTGGGGTTTGAGTGTCAGCTATGTGTGGATGGTTCGGATTTCAGAGTATGGGTAACCGTGCTGTCGTGGGGCTGAGCTCGTTGAGACTGTGGAGGGAGACTATGTGTTTTGAGTAGGTTATATCACTCTAGTGAGTATGTGCTCCATCGATTGCTATGCCCCTTGACCCCGAGGCATTAGGGGAGGGGTCAGTGTGTTGCTTTACCACCTTTAGGCTACAGGGTTATGAAACCCTTTCCAGTAGAGGAGATGAGTGCCTAGTGAAAGGTAGGTTATTCATAACTTGGTATAGTGAGTGAAACCTGAATCTTTAGCAGTAAGAGAAAAAAAACCCCCAAAAAAACCAACACTTTTAGGTAACAATAACAGAAGAAAGTTTGTTGTGTGTTCAGTCCAGGTTTTATGTCACAGGTCCAGGGTGCAAATTGTTTGCTCCTATGGCGTTGTTGGAGAGCCCCAGTGTAGTCAGCAAGGCCGGTCCTTCTTCCGCATTGGTGATCTTGTAGTGTTGGTCGCCTTTCGTCACCCATAGCGTTCTGGGGGTTGCCCATCTGTAGACGAGGCCCTCTGCTTGTAGGGTGGTGGTCACAGGCTGCATGCTCTTGCGCCATGTTAATGTGTCCCTGCTCAGGTCCTGGAAGAAGGTGATTTGCTGTGTTTCGAAGTCGTAGGGTGCCTTCCCTTTTATGGAGGTTATTAGGGCTATTTTGTCCGTCAGGGTTTGGCATCGTAAAATTACTTCGCGTGGGGCTGTCTTGGGTGCCCGTTGCGGTTTGGCTATGCGGTATACTCCATCAAATAGAAAATGTTTTGCTTGTCTGTTGGGGATGAGTGAGGCCACCAGGCGCCTGATAAAGTGGGGTAGTTCCTCCAGTGGCACCGATTCCGATATCCCCTGATCTTAATATTTTTCCTCCTCCCCGGTCGTCTAGGATGTTTACTTGCCTGGTGATGTTAGCCTGTGCTGTTTGTAGCTGGGCGACTGTGTCTGTTAGTGAGTTTAGGTCTTGGCGTAGGTCTTTCACTTCTTGTTCTGTGGCCTGGGTTCGGGCCGACACCACCTGCACCTCTGCTGCTAGCCCCTTTAAGTCTGCTTGCCACATTAGTTGTAGGTTACCTTGGAGTCCCTCCAGCATGGCCTGGATGTCCTGTTTTGTTGCTGGGGCTAGTCCATTGGGAGCTTGTACTTGTATATTGCCTGTGTTGGCCGCTGCTGTGCTGTGATCTGAGTCTCCATCTTCAGACCTCTCAGGTGAGGCTGCCATGTTAGCCCGGGTCTGTGCGGGTGGAGGGTTCTGCAGCATGCTGCTTATGTCCCGGTGTGGCGTGGAAGCGCTTGTGGCTGGTTTGTGGGACCTCCGTCCCATTTCTTCTGATGTGTGGAAGTCTGCCTCTGTGAGCTGCGAGCTCCGGTCAAGCCACGCTGTCAGCTCCCTGGTGAGGTACTGGTCGCGTGTGCGGTAGGCCCCCGGTCCCTTGATGCGGCTTTTCGTGCCCGACTTTTGAAAGAAAGGCATCTGCGGGTTCAGCAAGGTGGTGGGAGGTTGTGCTAGTCGCCTGTTGTAGTCGATGAGTTGCGGGTGTGCCGTTATTTCAAGTTTTTTGCGCTGGCTGTGCGGAGCTCTTGCAAATGGCGACTGCTCCGTTTTGTCGTTGGCTCCGCCCCCCGGAAATGATAACTTTATACAAATATATTCGGGGCCAGTACAAACCTTTATCTGGAAATCTATTCGTAAACAGGGCTATACATAGGACACAAGGTCACACCTTTAGGCTGGAAGAAAGGAGATTTCATCTAAGGCAAAGAAAAGGTTTTTTTACAGTAAGAACAATAAGGATATGGAATTCTCTGCCTGAAGAGGTGGTTTTGTCAGAGTCCATACAGATGTTTAAACTGAAATTGGATAAATACTTACAAAAACATAACATACAGGGATATACTTTCTAATTAGTGGGGTAATAGCTGCTTGATCCAAGGAGACATCTGACTGCTATTTTGGGGTCAAGAAGGATTTTTTTCCTAGTTTGTGGCAAAATTGGAAGCGCTTCAGACCGGGTTTTTTGCCTTCTTTTGGATCAACAGCAACAACATTTGTGAGGAAGGCTGAACTTGATGGACGCAAGTCTCTTTTCAGCTATGTAACTATGTATGTGCTGGTGTGTGTCTGCGTGTCAAGGTGTGTGTATCTGTGTTTGTATGTGCCGGTGTGTGTCAATGTGTGTGTATCTGTGTTTGTATGTGCCGCTGTGTGTATCTATGTGTGTGTGTTGTATCTGACAAACGGATACACACACCTTGACACACAGTGTGTATCTGTGTGTGTGTGTACGTATCTGTGTCAAGGTGTGTGTATCTGTATCTGTGTGTCAAAGTCTGTGTATCTGTGTTTGTATGTGCCAGTGTGTGTTTCTATGTGTCAGTGTGTATCTGTGTGTGTGTGTATTTATCTGACACACAGATACACACACACACACTGGCACATAGTGGCACACAGATACATACACCTTGACACACAGTATGTATCTGTGTGTGTGTATGTGTGTGTGTACGTATCTGTGTCAAGGTGTGTGTATCTGTGTGTCAAAGTCTGTGTATCTGTGTTTGTATGTGCCAGTGTGTGTATCTATGTGTCAGTGTGTATCTGTGTGTGTATTTATCTGACACACAGATACACACACACACACTGGCACATAGTGGCACACAGATACACACTGACAGATATATATACACACAGTGAAACATACACATACCTTGAAACACACAGATACACAACCTTGCACATAAACACACAGATTCACACACATTGGCAAATACACACACTGACACAGGTACACATACACACACACTCACATACATATCTGTTTAACTTACCTTTTTTCTTCCTTCAGTGCTGCTGGCTGAGGATGGTGTGCCAGGTCGGCAGCTACTCACTCCCCATTGCATTCCCCGCCAGTGCATTCTGTCTGGGAGGAAGTGCTGTCACTTCCTCCCAGCATCCCATAAAACAGGGGTCCGGTTACAGTTTTAGATTTACACGGACACCTGTTTTTAGCCATACCCATTGGGTGGCTCTAAATGCTGGAGCTACCCAACGGGAAAATTGCAGTGAAACCCCAATTTTGTTCTTCCGGAACCCTAGGGTTCTGCGGAACACTAATTGGGAAACGCTGGTCTATGGAAGCTCCAGCTGGTCCATAGGTATCAGTGTTGTACTCTCACACATGCTCAAGAGTACAACACTGATGTGGGCTCCTGACAGATGAAATGTCAAACGCTGAAGAGGATCCACCGGATGGAGATGGAAGCAGTCGCCAGGGACAACTTCAGGTAGGTAAAATCTTCCCCTGCATCTCCAAGCCACAGCACACCAAGCAGCAATGTCACCATCGGGGTCAAAATATGCAAAGACCACAGCAGGTGAAAAAGCTGCTTTAACTATTCTATTTATTGAAGATGTTGAAATTGTCATCGAAAGTCAAGTGTAAGTTTTTTTAAAGAACACAAAACTGGGTAAGGTTATAGAGTATTAACAGTGTATTACATCTCTAAAGAGGGGTTTGGATTAATTAGGGAATAGAATATTGATAATACCAGACTGGAATGTATAATGTAAGTAATGTATAGTTGTATACCCTTAAATTAGGGATCTCATAAAAGCATCTATTGATCCGCTTGCTCTATGCTTTCTGGGGACTGTCTCCTGGAACTCACTTGCCCACTCCTTACCTTCCTTTACTAGCTGAATTTTCTGGTATAACACCTAAATGACAGTGAATTGAGCAGTAAAATTGCAGGGGAATGATCTATACACTAAAACTGCTTTATTTAGCTAAAGTAATTTAGGTGACTATAGTGTTCCTTTAAGTTGACATATGTAGTTTCCTCTGCGCAACAAAAGCCTGTGAAGAGTAGTAAGAAAAACATATTTTATGGACATGGTCCCCCATATTTTTCCAGCAATGATTATAGTGTTAGGAATATTAACATGTATTCCTAACACTATAGTTTTGAACTAGCTATTAGGTATCTAGCCCTATTCACATTGGAGAAATAAAGATTAATCGTACTTTTTCTCCCGTGTTACACCAGTCTCGCAGTGACTGACTCAGACTCCATCTTGTCAATCTCAGCCAATCCAATGCTTTCCCAGGGGAAAGGCCATACTTTCTATGGCTGTCTAATCACAGACTTCCCAATGCAGCTCAATGAGAAGTCTTTGCAAGGTAGTTTCTCTGGGCAATTGCTGCCTCTTGAGTTTAGCTCCACTGAGCTAACCAAACCAGGAAGTAACACGACCTGTTGTCTGATTGACAGCTGGGGGTGGGGGTATAAAGGTTAATTTATAAAAGTGCAAAAACAAACCAATCACTATATGCTCTAAGACGCAAAAATAGTTAAAACCAAAAGGGGAAAAAAAGTGTAAATATCACCAAAAGTGAATAATAAATGTGTAAACCTGTATATAAATGGTACATGCATTACATCAGTATGTATCTAGGGCAGAAATAGAAATATGGTGCAGTATAATCAGCATGGGGGTAGGGGTGGGGGTCAGAGGGGGTAGAGAACTCACTGAATGGATGGATATTCAGGCATATCTCCCTCTCAAATGAATGGAAGCGATCTCCAGAGCGTAATCCTCTTGATCACTCAAACATAGAGAAATAGAGAAAGGAAAAATAGTGCTGATGGTATAAAATGAACAAATTTATTCAACAATACTGCACTCACAAAATGTCAAATGACAACAGGGCACTGCTTAAGGGGGCCCCTCCATCAAGTTGCCGCCAGCCATTTTACTGGGCGCTCGGAAGCACTTACATTGTTGCTGACTAGCGCCCAGTAGAATACTGGTCCGGCGGCATACACATCAGACCTCAGAACCAGGTCGCCCTCCCAGGCAATCAATAGCGACGGCGGCAGCGCGACGGCGCTTTAATTCTTTGCTCCCGCCCCTTCCCTTTTTGTGGGGAGAAGTGGGCGGGAGTGTAGCAGATGGCACTGGGCTGTCCTGGGAATTGTATTGGTTTTGACTGCATTCGTGTAAATGGCAAAGTTATATGTGTTAAATGTATTGTGTTCGTCTGATTGTTCGGTAGTTTCATTCCCTTAGTTTGGTCGAATGAAACTACCGAACAGTCAGACCTCCCCTGTGTGAAGTGTGCCTTCAATTACCCATTGCAACATTGTTGCGAACGGGTAATTGACAAGCTGAGTAGCAGTCCTTTGTTC